AGCATGGGCGAGGCCCTGGTTCAGCCAGAGCACGGAGGGAAGAGGACTGTGCCACTCTCCTGCTCAGGGTACTCTCTTGGCTGCCCATTGCCATCAGCGTCGAACCTGGGCTCCCGGGCCTGGCCCTTGGGATCTGCTCACCTGACATCTCGTTTTTTTTGGCTTCTCTCCCTCCCTCCCTCCCTCCTGCCTCTCCTTGGGGCCAAGTGCCTCCTCTTGGTGGAAATGAGGAAAGGCAAGTGAGGGAGGTGAGTTTTCTCCCTTCTGCTCCTTGTATTTAATTTGGAGTCCATTGAATTTGCATCCAAATCTCCTCTTTGCCATTTCCTTGCTGTTTGTGATCCTGGGCAGGTCTCAGACCCTCTCCGAGTTTCATATGCCTCCTTTCCTCCTTATGCCATATGCAGATAATACTTTTCTCCCCTAAGGCTAGATTCATTTTTATTGCAATTGTGCTGGTGTTTTTTTTTTTTTTTTTTTTTTTGGTACCATTGGCACTTAACCACTGAGCCATATCCCCAGCCCTTTTAAAAATATATATATCTTATTTAGAGACAAAGTCTTGCTGAGTTGCTTAGGGCCTTGCTAAACTGCTGAGGCTGGTTTTGAACTCATGATCCTCCTGTCTCAGCCTCCCTAGTGGTTAGGATTATAGGTGTGGCCACTGCCTCTGGCAATKGTGTTGTTTTTTTGAGAACAGATTCATCTGGCTCAAAATCTTAAAAATACAAAATATATAAAAGTTTGTATTCACAGAATATATTTCCTAAGACACCCAATTCCTCTGCCTTCAAATTTACCAAATCCTGTCTCTTTTTTCATACCTTGAAGACTCTTCCATACACACATACCATCTGCTGAGGACATACTGTAGGTGCTGTCCTTGGATCATTGTTCAGTCCTCATACCCACCCGTGAAGGTGGAGGAGGAAAATGAAACTCAGTAGACAGGAAGCCACACCGTTGGCAAGCATTTGCACCAAGCAAAGCAAATGTGTCCATTTGTCAAGGGCCCACTAATGTGCCTGGACTCAGGATTGTCCCAGACCTTTATATTCATTTATTTAACAAATACTGAATGCCTGCATGTTTCGGGCACTGAGCCGGGTGTTATATCGTGGAGAGGAAAACACGTGGCTTTAGCCCTCCCAGACTTTACACTCCAGTGGAGACAGCCCTGGAGAAGGGAGGTACATGTGTTCTCCTTCTTCCAGGTAAGAAAACCAAGAACGGAAGGGAAAGAAATGGCCCTGAAGTCACACTGTGATACGAGCTGAGATTAGCAGTCCCATTTTACAGGTTTGAAAACCGAGTCACAAGACGCAAAATACTTGTTCCAGGAAACCGGCGAGGGCGCGCAGGGCTCGGACTGGACCGCGCCCAGCCGGCCAGTCCCAGCGCGCCCTGGTGGGCGGGGCCCGCTTCGGCCCCGCCCCTTTCTCCCTCCCGCGCGCCTTCCTGGCCGCCTGGCTGCAGTTTCCTGCTTGCGTCGCTGGGCGGGCGGCTGGCCCATCTGGCGGCCCCCACTGGGCGTGCGGGGAGGCGGCCCAGACTCGCTGGAGCCAGGCGCCTGCCGGGGAGCGGGGGGGGGGGCCCTGCCCGCGCGGAGAGCCCAGGTGTGGCTGCGGCGGGGGCGGGAGGTGGTGCTTTCCTTCCCGCTCGCTCGGCCCTTCCTGAAGAGCCCGGCAGGATGCAGCCTSCGCCTCCCTCGACTGTGCCTGGGATCCCGCGGGGAGTCACACGGGGTAGGGGCGGGAAGAGAGCAGACTCCACCTGGGATGTTCACTTTGTGACTCTGTAGGTCTTGCTGTCTTGGGAAGGACTATTTTTTTTAATACTTATTTTTTAGATGTAGATGAACACAACACAATGCCTTTATTTTTATGTCGTGCTGAGGATGGAGACCCGGGTCCGCCCGTGCTGGGCCAGCGCTCTACCGCTGAGCCACAATCCCAGCCCCCCCCCCCCCAAGGGCTAGTTTTACCCCTTGGTGCAGGGACAGCTGAGCTTTATTTGGTAGTGGGGTCTGGACCACTAAACCACACCTCCAGCCCTGTATATCTTTAGACAGGGTCTTGGTAAGTGGCTGAGGCTGGCCTTGAACTCCTTGATCCTCCTGCCTGGGCCTCCAGTCTTTGGGGTTACAGGCTAGCGCCACCGCGCGGGGCCACACACCAGGACTTTGACCTTTGGTTGCACAGGTTTTTGCTTTGCTGCTCGGGATGGGACAGGATCAGGGCAATCCGAGGCATCATTCCTGTGCTGTCATAACCTGTATCCCCTTCAGGGTGAGTGGGTATCTGACCTTCGTGTACCCTGCTGTTCCCAACCACCTGATTGGTGTCTTACATTCCTGCTAGTGGGCCCCATAGAGGGCTCAAGGCTTTCCACCTGAGAAGATAAACTCGCCTAGGGAGGAGATTTTTACTCCTTCACAGCTGGGGAAACAGGACAGCGTGGTGGCTCTCAGTCACGTTGTAGGAGCCAGCCCTGCACTGTGACTCTAGGTTGCACCCAATGACCCGTCCACAGAACCAAGAAGAGATCCAGGAAATCCAGAATTCGAATTTATGTCAGATGCCACATGGTCAGCTGTCATGGTCATGGAAATCAGGCACCCTGGGTTCAAATGCTCCCTTGGTACTTAAGGCCTCTTTGCCTCCTTTCCCTCATCTGTAAAAAACAGTAAGGCTAGGCACGGGGGCACCGTGATACCAGTGAGGCTGAGGCAGGAGGATTGCAAGTTCAAGGCCACCTGCAGCTGGCTGCAGTAGGTAAGGTGGCCCATGCCTGTAATTTCAGGGGCTTCATGGCTGAGGCAGGAGGATCACAAGTTCAAAGTTAGCCTCAGCAAGTTAGTGAGACCCTGTCTCTAAATTTAGAAAAAGGTAATCCCCATGATCACAAAGGAAAAAATAAGTAAATAAAAAAAGGGCTGGAGGGCTGGGGCTGTGGCCCAGTGATAGAACGTTTACCTAGCATGCGWGAGGCCTGGGGTTCATTCCTCAGCACCACATCAATAAAATAAAATAAAGGTATTATGTCCATCTACAACTAAAAAAAAAAAAAAGGCTGGGGACGTGGTAAAGAACCCCTGGGTTCAATCGCCATTACCAAGGGGGTGGGTGGGAGGTATCTTAAGAGTTACTCCAACGATTAAATATTTTYAGATGCCAGCATAATGCTAGTCCCACGTGAAACTGCTGCTTACCAAGCCTGTACTGGGGCTCTCCGTGGGGCTGGAGCCCCCTTGTACTGTGGTCAGGGGAGACTGAGGCAGACAAGGACACAATCAGGGGCAGTAGAGTAGCTTCTCAAGAATCTGCCCCCACCCCAGGGAGAGGCTGGCACCAGACCCACCTTAGCCCTGCCCAGCCACCCACCCCTGCCGCCCAGAGTGCAGACCCAATCCGTGCCCGGCCTGGTGCCATTTTTCCATGGGACTCGGGCGGTGGYGGTTCACATCTGGAGTCTAGACTCGGAGGCTCTGCAGGCTGGGCCTACCGCCCGGGCTGGGCCCCGCTGCCCGCTGTTTGCTCAGCTGAAGCTGGTTAATTGGAATTGGAGTGGCCTCTGCGGTGCCGGCTGGCCGGGCGGCCCTGCCGAGGTCTGTGGAACATCTGGCCAGGCCAGGAYGGTCATTAGGTGGCAGGCGCCCGGCGCCACTGCCACCTCAGCCTCCGCCGGGGGCCGGCGGTGACTCAATGGGGCCTTTGTGGGCTTTGGGCCACAGAGCCAACCACGCTGTGTGCCTGGGCTGCCTGCCCCATCTGCCGCCCTCAGAGGGGCTTTGTTCCAGGACCACACGGCCTCCCTCTAGAGGCAGCTGGAATCTGCAGAGATCCTGAAGTCCCTGAAAGGACCCCCTGGCTAGAAGCCTGAGATTTCCTTCCCTTTTCATAGTATCCTGGGCCCAGAGAAGTTGGGTGGCTCGCTCAGAGGGGCCCAGCGTACTAGCTACAGAGACTCGGTCCCAGGGGTCTGGAAAGCAGTGGAACAGTCCTTAGAACTCTCAATTCCCACCTGGATTGCTTGAGGCCAAATCCCTGTCTGTGGACAGGCTTCCTCCATTCCCTCACCTGCACGCTGGGCTGACAACAGCACCTACAGCCTAAGACTGTGGTCATTGGTCTCACTTCTGAGGCGTTGGCCACACTTGTCTTTTGGAAGCCCTTATTTTTAGCCTGTGAACCTGGAGCTTGGGCAAGGGAGAACAATGGCCACAGCCTCCTGTCTCTGTGGCCCCACCCAGTGACCCCTTCCCAGGCACATGGATGCAGGCCGTGTCACTTCTTGCCCAGTCCACTGGGGGCTCTCATGCAGGACAGGGGTTAGGGAAACTCTGGTCCTGGTATTTATAGCTCCTGAGCCTAGATGGCCTAAGAGACACTGAGTCCCCTCTGCACTCCAGCCTCTCTAAAGGACCAGCCTTTGTGTTGTAACTGGCTGCTTTTTTGGGGAAGAACCCAGAATGGGCAGAATGGGAGAGATGGGGCCTTGAACTCCACGGCAGCCAAGAGTGTGGGTCACCAGCTGAAGCCATATGGACGYTGGGTCCACGGGAGCTGGCAGGCTGGCTTTATAACTATTGGTCCCCTTGCCGAGTCAGGTTGGCCTCTGGTTCTTYCCCTACCACTCACCAAGGTGAGTGACTGCCCAGCACCCTTACTGCCCCAAGTATCCAGAAGCAGGTGATGAGGAAAACCTGTGGCTCAGGAGGGCTTGTGGGCCCCCCACTGCTGGCCACAGGGTGTTCTTGGGGTGCTAAACTGACCCAGCACCAGAGCGGGCACTCAGAAGAGCGCTTGCAGAAGTTTCTGGGTGGGCAGATGAGACTTAGTAAACCCAGGACAAGGCACTGGGTGCATGTGCAGAGGACCCTTACAGAAGCACAGCGTCCACCCTGGCCATGGGATGAGTTTTTAATGTAAGGCAAAGTCAGTCCACAATACAAAAATCTAAAAATCACACCCAGTTTTCCCACCTGGTTCCGGGGGAGGGAGGAAGCTGGGGGTTGGTTTCCTTTGCCTGCAGGGGATGAGGAGAGCAGAGGAGGGCCACAGAAGGGGGGAGAGGAAAACAGAGGCCACAGAGACCTAGCTGGAGGGATCCTGCTGCCCCCGTCCCAGTCCTGGAGCAGTGTCCTGAACCCTCTCCCATGCACGCCTGTCAGCCCATCTCCCTGGCTGGTCTGGCCTTGAGGGRGTCGGGTACCAGTTGCATCATTTCTCCTTCTTCTCTAGTCCCTTCGATGCTGATGCCTCTGTGGCCTCTTTGGATTCGGTCACTGCTGCTGGATCCTTAGGATTTGACTCCTCATAACTGATTAGAAAAAAGACAATAAAAACACATTCAGCGGAGGCGGAGACAGAACTTTGCTGCCCCCCGGCCCCCCCCCCGCCATCCCAGGAAACCCCTGGGCATATAAGAATCATCAGCTCTGTATCACTGCCCAGTATCTGCCAGTACCTGGCCCCAGCCCCAAGGTGCCCTCCCCAGACTCTGCCTTCTCTGTACCCTCGTGGTACCAAGAGGCAGCAAGAACAGCAGCAAGTAGGAGAGGTTGGGCATGAGCTTAGATGGATCATCTTTAAGCTTCCTGAACCTTCTGCTAAAGAGTGTGTGTATGGGGAAAGACAGCCAACTTGAGCCGATGGGATGGGCTGCCTCTCAGGATGCATGGCAGGAGCCCAACAGCTCAGCCTCAGGGGTGAGTGGTGGAGACTGTTCTTGAAGATGGACACCTTGGCTTAACTCTTACTGTGGACTTCACTTATTGAGCAACTGTGTACATGCCAAGGACAATACACACATTTCCTCACCAGATTAACCTTGTGAGGCAGGAATGTGCCCACTTACAGATGAAGAAAGAAAGGTTCTGAAAGCAGCAGCATCGTGGCTCGGGTTGTGCACACAGTGAGCGGTCACAGCATCCACCACTATCTGACCACTCATGTCCACCCTCTCACATGAGCCCCATAATATTGGTGAATACTCCAAAGTTCTGGGGCTCCCTGCTCCCCAAAGGGCTTGGTGTGCAGAGTGCTGGTGGCYGTGGAGAGCTAGAGTGTGTGCCCTACCTTGGGCCCGGGGCAGTGGGGGGAGCGGGCAGGTGGGCACCCGCTGGGCATTACAAGGCGCTGGGATTCTGCTGGCGCCGGCGACGAGAGCCAGCTAGCTTCTGCTGCATGGAGTCGGCCAGGCTGGCAGGGGAGCCCGAGACCGTGGGGAAGTGGGTGAGCCTCGGGGTATGAGGCAGGATTTCCGCAGAGGACTCGTAGCTGTGTGAGAGACAGAGACAGAGAGAGAGAGAGAGAACAAGAGATGGAGAGGGAAAGACTCAGGGAGACAGACTGCGTTTCCAAGGGGCAAGGAGCACAACCATTTTATTTWTATCTTGCTCTGCACTTTCAGACTTTGTGAAAAGAGACCAGTTTTACTTGGAGAACAAGGACAGGCGTACCTCTACAAGGACAGGTGCTCACGCAGCTGAGCAGAAGAGCAAGAATGCCCTGGTTGTGCCATGTGCTGCTGCCGAGGTCTCTCTCAGATAAAAACTAAGGCTGGCAGTGTCGCTGGGTATGCTTAGCATGTGTGAGGCTTGAACCYCAGCACCAGGAAACCATAAAAACACACGTGCAAAAAAATCAAGACGCAGAATGCCACCATCATCGAGACATATTTGCATCTCAGATCACAGGTGTTTCTGAATGTACTCGAGAGCTGGCCTCTGGTGGCTGGGGCAGGAGGATGTTCTCCCTCTCATAGCCATGGAATTCTGAACCATGTTTAAACCAAATTTTGAAACAATTTAAAAATAAACGAGCCAGGTGACATGGYCCATGCTATAATCCCAGCTACTTGGGATGCTAGGGCAGGGGGATCGCTAAGTTTGAGGCCAGCCTCAGCTACTTAGCAAGACCCTGTCTCAAAGGACTGGGAATGTAGCTTGGTGGTGAAACAGCCTGAGTGATCCCCAGTACGACCACCGCCACACACATGGGGGGGAAAAAAAAGAATAATAATAATAAAAGAAAAAAATAAAGCAAAAAGTGCAAAGTCAGGGGGAGAGAGGAAAGGACATAAAAAGAGAGCAGGGCTGGGGTGTGGCTCAGCGGAAGGTCTAGCAGCGCAGGGCCCTGGGTTCAACCCCCAGCACCACAGAAAAAAGAAAAAGAAGAGAAGAAGAGAGGAGAGGACAGGATGGAGAGAGAGAAAGACCCCCTGTCTTTCACCTTTCCCCAAGGACCTCCTGGGTGAGCGGRGGCAGAGGTGGGGCAGGCTGCCTGGACACCAGAGCATTGAGGATCACAAAGGGAGGTGCCTCCTGGCCTGGCTGGGCAGAGTTCTGGCTGCTGAGAGCCTAACAGGACTGAGCTAGGGAGGTGACCCCAGGGCCTGAAGCTGGATGAGTGAGATGCTGAACTCGGGGATYAGGTGCCATGCCTCATCCCAAAGGTCCCCAAATCTGTCCTCAAGTTCATTTCCCCACCCAACTTGCCTCAGAGATCACAGGGCTTTGCCAGGCCAGGAGGATACGCACGCAGGCTGGGAGCTGGGATTCCAGGCGGGACAGGGAGGGCAGAGGCAGGTTCAGGGGAGGGGTGAGTCACAGGCTGCCCTGCGGGCAGCCAGGTGCACAGGAGGCCCTGGCAGGCACTTGAGGGGCAACATGGAGACCAGGCAGGTGGAGCTGGGTGGAAGCCCCCRAGTGGGCAGCTTAATCGCAGCTGGCAGCTATTTCTAGGTCCCTGGCAGGTGGGGTTGGTGGTGCTAGGGAGCGGACACCTGCTGGAGTCACGCAGGCCTTGGGGTAGGGGGTGGGGCTGTGCATGAGGTGTGGCAAATGTGGATGTGGCCCTGGGGAAGGGGTATGTGAGTGAGACAGGCTGAGATGGGGAGCAAGCAGTGAGCTGTGCAGTGAAGGCCATGGAGGCGGCTAACAGGGACCAACACGCGACTCTGAACAGAGGGCACTTTCTCCCACACATCCCGTCTCACTGCTCACGTGTGAAAATTGATGCTGGGGGAGGAGAAAGACACGCTTCAAGTCATCTGATGGCAGAGCCAGGCTGAGAACCTGGGACTCTGGGCTGTGGTTGGGGAGAAACCCACACTAGTGTCCCCTTCTTAAGACCAGCTGCCATGAGGCCACGAGGCCTCACCCTCCTAAGCTCCTGGCCCAGGSAAAGGCTTCCACTGGTGTCCACAGCCATAGCTCAGGTGCTGGAAGACAGTGAGAGGTGGAGCAGGCGGAGAGGGAACAGTGGTCTCTGGAGATGTGCACCGCCACCCCCTTAGCCACCTGAAGGTGCACCTGGGTCCAAGTGAATGTCTGCCCCCCCCAGCCTTACCTGAACATTTCTGTCACTTCTCCTTTGGCCAGYGCCACCAGAACGGGAAAGCCAATGCAGGCAGGTACCAGGTACAGGAGAGCAGGCTGTGAGAGAGAGGCTGGTCAGGCAGTGCTGGGCAGGGCATCTGCTCAGGGCCATGCCCGTACCCCAACCCTCTCCTGGGCTTAACTATGGGATAGGCAGTGGTTGGACCTGAACCCAGGTTCCTAGACTCCTAGACCAGAGCTGATCCTCACTTGGAGGGACTGCAGCAAACACAGACACTCAAGGATGCAGGGCTTCAAGGGGTCCCGGGAGTCTGGCTGGCAGTGTGAACCACTCAGACACCAGATTCCAAACTGCAGCTGCCCGGGCACTCTCATTCTCAGAGGCCTTGCTGCCCAGGCTTAGGGTAGGTGGCTCGAATTGCAGCAAATGCTCTGGGGGATGCTTCTGTAATGGGGACGATGATGACATAGCTGCTATGCTTKCGGAGTTTGCTGCAGCTTGTGTGAAGGTAACCCAGCGGTCACTGGCTCCCCAGGATTTACCCCCAGGCAATCTGGCCCCAAAAGTCTGTGCTGAGACTCCTGGTAAAGCTGGCTTAAGAGAAAGGACAAGTATACTAAGAGCCCCTCAGGGCATCCTCATGCCCAGTGAAGGCCCTCAGCTGACCTCCCTGGCATGTCTCAGCCCATCTCCACAGCCCAGACATGCCGGCCGTTCCCCCTGCAGCACCTGAAAGGTAGACATGGATCCACAGTTCACCCTTCCCTAGTGCTGGCCAGGTGTGAAGGCCCCAGGAAATGCGGCTCTTGCTTCCTTTTCCACCCTCACTTGACCCTGCCTGCTCTGGCCAGTCCCAGGACCTTTGTGTGTACTGTCTCTGCGGCTTGGAGGTTGTTTCCGCCTTTGTCCAGGTCCTTCTTCCTTCAGCCCTCAGCTGAYAGTACCTCTCCTCCCTGGGAGCGTGCACTCACAAGGGAACAGGTCTCCTTAATGCGTGCTCCCAGAGCCCTCTTAACTCTCACCCTTAGGGCATTTCCTGGTCAATCTATGGTCCTGGGCCCTTGCTGACTGGTGTCTCCCTCCCCTGAGGGACTGTGGCCTGGGTCAGTGCGGGCCCAGCTGTCTTGTTCATGCTGCATTACCAATCAGCCAATCAGGGCCTGATAAATACTAGTGACCGGCTTCTTCATGGGTGTTCATGAAGTTAGGGTGTCTCGGAGATACTATCCTTGGTGCAGAGCAGCCGGCAGTTGGGGAGCACAGGGCTCTCTCTTCCCTTTGCACTCTCCAGTCAGATCTTCAGATCATTTCTTGGCACCTGCCCAGGTGGGCTGTGAACCACATCTTATGGAGATTATCCTTGAATCTATTAATACCCTAAGTATTAGGATCTGGTTTTTACAGATGATGTTACTGAAGCTCAGGAGGAAATGACCTGCCCAAAGGTCATATAGATGTGTTAGCTGGGATTTGACTCTGGACAGCTGTGCTTCTTCCACTGGCATTAGATCTTTGCTGTGTACTAGATTTCGAGCCAAAAGTAATAAACAAAAACCAAAACAAAACAATAACAAAATGACAAAGGTCCATATTAAAATCTGTAAGAAGAGCTGGGGCTGTAGCTCAGTGGAGAGCGCTTGCCTCGCATGTGTGAGGCACTGGGCTCCATCCTGAGCACTACATAAAAATAGAATAAAAGTATTGTGTCCATCTACAACTTAAACAAACCAACAAACAAACCATACGACTGTAAGAAGCAGCCAAGTGGTACACAAGAGAAAGATTTATGCTGGCGCAGCAGCACACACCTATAATCCCAGTAGCTCAGGAGGCTGAGGCAGGAGGATTTTGAGTTCAAAGCCAGCCTCAGCAATTAGCAAGACTAATTGAAGGACCCATTCAAAATCACAGTTGAGGGCTGGGGTTGTGGCTCAGTGGTAAAGCACTTGCCTGGCATGTGTGAGGCCCTGGGTTCAATCCTCAGCACTGCATATAAATAAATAAATAAATAATCAATTTACAACTAAAAATCATTAAAAAAAAAAAAAAAAAAAAAATCACAGTTGGCCAGGATTTGGACCTAGGTTCCTCTGCCTCTAAGACCAGTGCGTTCTATTCACCAAAGCCAGACTGGGCAGAGAGGGTTTCTAGGGCAAGGAGGTAGAAACTTGGCTCTTCCCTTGCAGGCAGCTTCACCTGGGAACTGGCAGTCACTGAGAGGTTTCAGGGACCAATGGGAAGGGCTCCTTTAGGAAGCAGTAGGTTCACTATTATCAGAGGGATACAGTCTRTACTATTTATTTTCCCCTCAAGGATCCAGGGAACTTCACCAGTCAGTGCCAAGGAGAAGATGGGCTRTACAGCTCAGGGCAATGAGCTAGGGCAGGCTCCTGGCTTTCCACTGGCTTTGCTATGTCACCATGGCTAAACTGCTTCCTTTTCTGGGCTTGTCTCTCCCTCTGCAAAATGACATTASACTCAAACATATCCATAGGCCTTCCTGGGGAGGCTGCTGGCTTTCTGGCTTGAAGCAGGATTCTGAAAGAGGATAATAAGCTGAACTTCTCACAGAGGACACCCAAGTGATTCCTTGCTAGAGCAATGCTGGCACCAGGACTACCTGTGTCTTAGAGAGGGGAGGCTTCATGGAACAGGTTCTCCTGGTGTCCTTGATGCCCTTTCCAAGAAGCATTTTAAGGGTGATGCCTACTTGGATGATTGGGCAAAACGGCTGAGCAGCAGCTGGAGTATAGCACAGGTCTGGGGCCAGGGACCAGAGTCTAGGGCTTTGTAGGGGCCCAGCTCAACTTGCTGTGTGACTTGGGGAAGTCTCCCTTCCTCCTAGGGTTGCAATTTCCCCACAAAGGAGAGGACCATCTCTTACTCCTGCTCCCTACATGTGTGAGAGCTTGGAATGGATCCTTCTTTGACAGCCAGAAGGCAAGCCTGCCACCTGGTGGCTGCCAAGGGAATAGTTCTGACGCTAGGAACTGGAGCAGAGACCTCCAAAAGGCCTTTGAACTAGTCACCCAACCCAGATCTACTCACTCTGTGATCCCCTTGCCAAGTGCATGTCATTCTAAGTTGGCCCCTGAGGACATATGGAACAGAACTGAGTGCAAGGTGGTTCTGCAAGGGTTCTTGGTATCTCCACCTATGGGCTAAGGGACTTCTTTAAGGGTTTAGCAGAGTGCCTGACRGTGATCAATAAAAAGCTTCTGTAGTAATTCAAAGGCAGTTTTTCTGTGGCTGAGTCATGGGGAGGGGGAAAAGGAAAGGCAACAATAGTACAGTAGTACCCACCCCCATGCCCTATTGTGAATGCCTGAAAGGTGGGTAACACTGAACCCTGTCTGAAACCCCGRTGGCTAGTGACTAATGGGTGGGTGGTGCATACAATGTGCATACATCCCTTGAAAAAGGGATGGTTCTTCTGGGATGGTGAGAGATTTCATCATGATACTCAGAACTGCATGCAATTTAAAACTTAYAAGTTATTTTTATAATTTTTCATTTAATGWTTTTGAGCTCTGGGTATCTGAAACCACAGCAAAAGTCTGTAGGAGGGTGAGGGGAGACTACTGTGATGACAGCTGATGTTAACTGGTCCAGGTGTCTCTGGGGAGTTCAATTATATTAACTCATCTTCAAACCACCGCAAGGTGGCTATTTATCTATCTTTTCTGGTTTTATGAATGAATGAGGAAAACCAAGCATAACAGCCAACCTGCCCACAGTCTCAGAGTCAACTGTCTGGATTCCTAGCAGAGCTCCCTTAGCCTGTTRMGCAYGGCCTTTCCTACTGCCAGGGCAGAGCCTGGGCATGCAAGTCGATCCAGGCTTGAATCCTGGCTCCACTACACACATACTCAGTGCRGTACCTGAGCTCTAGTTTCTCATCTGCTCTTAGGGGACCCTCATGAGCTCAGAGCCTGCATGTGGGATGCCAAACAATTATGAGCTCCTCTTGTTGMCAACAGAGAGGAGGCGATCACGTATTCTGTTTCCTTCCTAGTCCTCGTGCTATGCTGCTTCACTCTGGTGGAAGGAGGACGAAGAGCCTTGGCTAACTTGGGAAGGAGCTGGAAGGGAAGCCTCAGCACCTTACATCTCATCTGTGTAGACACCAGAATGGACACCCAACACCCACCCATCCTCTCCTTCTCCGTCTGCCTCCACTACACAGCTTCAGAAGCACAGTCCTCTTCCCCACATGCTCCTGCTCCCAGGGTGGCCATGTGATACCGATCTAAATGGCCTTTGAGAAGTGAGCAGAAAGTTGCTGATAGGGCTATGGGAAAGTTCCTGCGCTCCTGACGATGTGGGCAGTATGACTGCTAGGCCTTCTCTTCTCCCTTGCCCCTGGAGTGTGAGTGTTGCCTGGAGCATGGCAGCTACCTTGCAACCACCAGTGAAAGGTCAAGAGAATCACAAACGGGATTGCTGATACCACTGGCAGTACCTGCCTCTGGACMGCTTGTACCTATGACAGATAAGCCCTCTGTAAGTCCTGCTCACCTGGGCATGCTTGAAGATGTGCATGATGAAGATGGTGAGGCCCAGGCCGAAGATGTAGGCTGCGAAGCTGGTGTAGAAGTAGGTATGGGTGTTCTTCTTCAAGCTTCCAGGAAGGCATGGGAAGAAAGAGGGAGTTAGTGCAGGAACTGGAGTGGCAGTAACCCTTCCAAGGAGGGAGCTGGGGGAGACCCTGTAAGTTGTGGGGCTGGCAGAGCTCCGTGCTGCACTCACTACTGCCCCCAGCTACGTATCTTTGAACAAGTCACATTCTTTCTCTCAGTCTCTGTTTACTTATCTGCAAAATAGGAAAACCATGAGCCTGTCTCCTTGGTGTTGTGAATATCAAATAAAAGAACTCTGAACAGTGGCTGTAAGTTTAGTCAGCATAAAAAATCATYTAGAAAGCTGTGAAGGAAGGGAAAAAAAGTAGGGCTCTAGATCCAGTCTCCAGGGAGGGTGACCGTTTTTTGGGTACTAGGATTTAACCCAGGGGTGCCTTATCACTGAGCTACATCCCTAGTCCTTTTTTTTTTTTTTTTTGGTTGTTGTTGACAGACCTTTATTTTTTATTTATTTACATGTGTGCTGAGAATCGAACCCAGCACCTCACTCATGTTAGGCAAGTGCGCTACCACTGAGCCACAACCCCAGCTGCATCCCTAGTCCTTTTAAAAATTTGAGACAGGGTCTGGCTAAATTGTAGAGGCTGGTCTTGAATTTCTCAGCTGCTGGGATTACAGGGGTCTGCTGCCACACCCAGCAGGGAGGGTGATCTGATGAGCTTAGGGCGAGGCACGGGACCTACATTTTGAAAACAACCCAGGTGAATCTGATACAAGTGGATCCTTTTAATTTTTGGGGGTAGGTAGTGCTGGGGATTAAGCCAAGGGTCACACTCATGCTAGGCAGCCACTATCCCACCAAGCTACATCCCCATCCCGAGTTCAAGCTTTGAGAAATAATAAGACAAACTTCACAGGYGAGTTATTGCTTTTCAGTGCAGTGGATGCTACGGTTCAGCAACCTTTTTGTGGGTACTAAACAGATGCTGGCTGCATGCCAGTGGYTTCCTGGAGGTGATTCATCCAAGGTTCCCTTCAGAACACACGAGTCATATTCAAYCTGGCATTGCCATTACCTGACTTCCCTTTACAATGCCAGCTACATAACCTCTGTGTGTCCTCAGCTCCTGGAACAGTGCCCAYCAAGTACTAGAGGCTCAGGTTAACATCTGTGGAATGAATGGATACTTCTGACTCCCCTCTCCTTGCCCTAGTTGCTTCTAAAGTCTTGAGCTACAAGTACACTGACACGATCCTTTTATGAGCGATGGGGTACAAGTGACTCCCTTTGGGAACACCGCACTGATTCTGGAACCACTCTGAGGGGCTTGCTTACCCTGAGGGCTCATGGTGGGAAGGAATTCTGCCTTTGAGGGTGTTGGCAGCTGAATGTGTCTGCAGCAAATGAGCCAAGGGACTTCTGTGGGTTTCTCTTTGTCTTAACTCAGAACAGCCAGGAATAGAACTGGCTGGTCCAGATGCACTTCTACTTACCACCTGGCCAGAGCCCTTCAAAGGCTGGCTGTCAGCCTGTGTGTTTCAGAGGCCCACTCAAACTGAATTTTCTTTCTTTTAGTATCAAGGATTGAACCCAGGGGCACTCAACCACTGAGCCACATCGCCAGCCCATTTTTATATTTTAATTAAAGACAGGGTTTCACTGAGTTGCTTAGGGCATCACTAAGTTGCTGAGGCTGGCTTTGAATTCACAATCCTCCTGCCTCAGCCTCCGGAGCTGTGGGATTATAGGCGTGTCCCATTGCACCTGGCCTCTGAATAGAATTTCAATGATGCTAGCATTGAAATTGTCATTACCACTGTCAACACTAGTACTGTGTTTTTGCAATTACTAGGTGTGAGGWGATGAAAGATTCACAAACTACCTCAAAATTGAGTGCATACACATAGCTGGGAGGACTGAGCATAAAATGACGGCGCAGTCACATGTACCTACTGCTGGCAGGAGGCCCAGCTACCCAGGTGATTTTGCTCCAACATGACCTTTTGTTTTAGGTGGTGACCCAGGTTGCCCCTTTTCTTTTGTGTTTTATTTTTCTTTTTCTCCTTGATACTAGGAATGGAACCCAAGGGCGCTCTACCACTGAGCTACATTCCCAGCCGTTTTTATGTAAGGAAGGGTCTTAAGTTGCTGAGATGGGCCCTGAACTTGCAATGCTCTTGCCTTGGCTTCCTGAGTTGCTGTTATTACAGGCGGAACCACTGAGCCTAGCCCATGTGTTCACTTTCTACGTTACACTGAAAAGAATCTCAGTAAGCAGAGGGCAAGGAACACCTTCAGCAGCTGGGACATGATGACCTGACCCCAGGCTGATAAATGAGGCTGAGGACAATGATAATGACCATAGCTGACCTCCCCCAGAGCCACCGAGGTCATCCTGTGCCTAGCACTCCCCTCTCCATTATCAGGGTAATTTTAAGGTAGATACTCGTTTTTCACTCACTTAAGGATAAGAAACCCGAGGCTCATAAAGGTCAGGCCACTTGCCAAGGGCACACAGTGAGAAAGCACTACAAGTACCACCAGGTCTCTTGGCTTATGATTCTCAAMTTAAAAACAAAGCAAACCGAACAAAAAACTTTTGGCCGTGGGCTCTTGGCATGCTTACAACTTCGGAATGTAGATGAAATCGGAACTGCTTTGGCTGCTGTGGGGCTGGAGGGTCTGGTCCCCTCAGGTCCCTCCTCAGGGCTCTGGAAAGCCGCTGGAGAATCCTGGGAGAACCCTAGTGCACAGCAGGCCCTCCCGCGCTTACCTGATGTCAAAACGCAGCAGCAAGGCGATGAAGATCCCTGCGGGAGARAGCCAGAGTTAGAGGGGAGCATGGGTGGAGGCTTCGAGCTAACAGGAGACTGGTCTTGGTCCCCAACCTGGAATTCCCAGTCATGGAGCAATTACTGGGGGTCAAATGTGTGGCTGATGCTACAAGTGCCAGTGGAAATTCCATTTTCAACCTAGAACAATAAGTCAAGTCCTGGGATTTTGCTTTGGCCCTGGACTACAATGACTGGGCATCTCACAGCACCAAACTATGTCACACTGGGTCTCTTGTCCCAATGTTTACTGACCACCTATTAAGCACCAGGCACAATGGCTAAGCTCTCAGAGTTCAGCCAAAGGAGCAGAGGTGAGACATGCTGTGACATACTTCAAATAGTGACAAAAGTTAGTGTGGCTTCTAACTGTGATGGGGTGCTTCCTGTGTCACGGGGAGATGTGCTGTGATGAACCCAGCCTGCTGGTAGAAGAGGGGGATAAASGAGGGCTTCTTGGAAGTGACCCTTCAGGAGAGGAGATTCTGTGTGTGAAGACCCCAGGAAAGAGGGCTTGACAGGGGAGTGGGTAGGGACTGGAGGGCCAGTAAGGCTGGCAGCAGATGCAGGCTTGGGCTAGCCGTGCAAGGCACCAGGCTATGGGGATGAGCCAGGTCTACACCCTGAGCAGGAGACACACTAAAAGAGTTCTAGGGAGGAGAAAATCTAAAACAGATTTTGAAAAAGACTCCTGTGCAGCTGCCTGCAGGAAGCGGGAGAAGGGAGCAGGAAGCTGACAATCAGGAGGCTCTGCAGAGCTCAGGAGAGGAGGGCAGTTCTGCCCACCCTCCGCATTCCTACTCACTCTTCAAAACCACACTCCCACCCAGAGGCCRCTAAATCCCTGAGACATGGTCAGCTGCTCCAGCCATTACACTCACACACACAGCAGCATCTGTGTGAGTGTAATAAAATAAAAAATAAAAAGGGCTGGGGATATTATTCAGTGGTTAAGCCCCCAAGGCTTCAATCTCTAGTATCCATGAATAAAGAAATGAAAGAGGGAAATAAGTCATTCCACAGTGAAGCCTCTGTGAGGAGGAAGGTGGTGGACAGAGACCAATGCTGCTTTCTGAAAAGAGGCAACACTCTGCGCCTCCTGGTGGCCGAACTCTACAAAAGTTTCCTGTGTAACAGAGGGTCCAGGGCTCTGGGCTAGGGTTTTTTTTTTTTTTTTTTTTAAATACTGGGGATTGAATGCAGGGGTACTTTACCACCAAGCTACATCTCCAGCCCTTTAAAATTTATTTATTTACTTTACGTGTTCTAAATAAATACATGAGAGCAGAATGCATTTAAATATTTTTAAAAAAAATATTTGTTAGTTGTCAATGGAATCTTATTTTATTTCTTCTTTAAAAAATTATTTTATTTTTTAGTTTTAGGTGGACACAGTACTTTATTTTTATTTTTATGTGGTGCTGAGAATCAAACCCAGTACCTCATGCATACTAGGTGAGCGCACTACCACTTGAGCCACTTCCCCAGTCCCATTATTTTATTTCTTTATTTATTGATATGTGGTGCTAAGGATCAAACCCAGTTCCTCACACAGGCTAGGCAAATGCTCTACCACTGAACTACAACACCAGCACAGTAGAATGCATTTTGACACATCATACATAAATGGAGCATAACTTCTCCTTCATCTGGCTGTGCATGATGTAGAGTTACACAGGTCATGTAATCATATATGCACATAGGGTAACAATGTCCATTCATTCTACTATCCTTCCTACACCCATGCCCCCTCCTCTCCCTACACTCCCTTCTGTCTAGTTCAAAATACTTCCATTATCCTCATCCCCTCATTGTGCCCAGCTGTTTAAATTTTTTTTTTTTAAATTTGAGACAGCATCTCAGAAAGTTGCTTAGGGTCTTGCTTATTTGTTGAGGTTGGCCTTGAACTTGCAATTCTCTTGCTTTGACCTCCCGAGTCACTGGGCTTACACAGAGAGTGGAACTTTGATTCCTAAAGTCCATCTGGTCTTCAAAACAAGGCTCCGCTCGGACTGTGAGGGCGTGATCAAGTTACATTTATTGTGGCTGCTGAAAGATTGTAGATATATATGGATTTGGAAGGGACAGACACTCAGATATCCTGTGCTTGCCTTAAACCCAGGACTGTGACCAACAAGGACACTGGAGAATTCTGTGGGGGGTGCCTGTGACAGATCATCCTCTGGTGAGCCAAATGGTTCAATGGATGGCATTTCTTCTGTCTGGTGGAGTGGCTTTCTCCTGGTTACGGGGGAAGCCAGTCACCCCTCCTCATAGCACTGCAAATTGCAGAAATCCTTGAGTTCCAGCCCACACCCTCAGACCCTCATGGCCATGGCAGGTGGAACCAACTCTCTGAACTTCAGTTTTCCTGTCTGTACAATGGACCCTCTACCTCATGGGGCTGCCAGGAGCAGTGAAGACAACAGACAGACAGCACCTGCCTCAGTGCTCGATRCACAGCAGGTGCTTGACAATTGGCAGCTGTCATGATTATTCTATAGTTATTGTTATTACTATCAAAAGTACAGTTTTGGGGGGCTGAGGTTGTGGCTCAGTGGTTGAGTGCTTGCCTAGGATGTGCAAGGCCCTGGGTTCCATCCTCAGCRCCACATAAAAATAAATAAAATAAAGGTATCRTGTCCAACAGCAACTAAAAATAATTAAAAAAATAAAAAGTACAGTGCTGTGGTTCCGTGGCAGAGTGCTTGCCAGGCGTGTGTGAGGCACTGAGTTCCATCCTCAGCACCACATACAAAAATAAGCAAATACAATAAAATCATGCTGTCCATCTATAACTAAAAGAAAAAAAAATTAAAAAAAAAAAAGTACAGTTCCAATGGTAAACTTTTTTTTCCCCCTGGGGATTGAACCCAGGGCCCTGTGCATGCAAGGCAAGCACTCTACTAACTGAACTATATCCTCAGCCCTATATTTTATTCTGATACAGCGTCTGCTGAGTTTTTAGGGCCTTGATAAGTTGCTAAGGCTGGCTTTGAACGTGAAATCCTCCTGCCTCAGCCTYGAGTGCTGCTGGGATTACAGGCGTGCRCCACTGTGCCCAGCTGGTGCATTATAATTATAGACATCAGTGAGACTCATTGTTACATATCTATACATGCTCATGATTTAACAATATAATTTGGTYAATACTGTTCCCCAGTATTTCCCCTCATCCTACCTAAGAGGAAGGGTTCCCTTCCTCTCACTCTACAGGTCTTTTTATAACAATCAACCCCCATCTTTCTTTTTCTTTATCCTCTCTAGCTTCCATATGAGAGAAAACCTGATCTTTGACTTTTTGAGTTTGGCTTACAAACATGTTAATTTCTAACAGTCCCTTCATTTCTGAGTGTGTTTCCTCACTGGTGAAACAGGGTAAGCCTCTGCTTCACATATCTTTCATGGGATGAAAGAATTGTAAACAGAATTACATACCACATCCTTAGTTATTAGAACTGTTATTACTTCCTACAATGGGAAAGAAGTTGGCTTTTTATTTGTTCCATGTGTTATTCTTTTTAGTTGGCTTCCAATCCTCTGAATTCTGACCCTCTTCAGTTCTGAACCTGATACTAGGGAAACCAGTAAGGCCACTGGTGCTCACTCTGCTGTCAGTCAGCCCAGGTCTGTAGACAAACTGCCTCCAGAGATCAGCGCCTTCAGCAGTCCTGAGTGGGAGTGTGGCTCTGGCCTGGGAATTTGGGATGCTGGTGCCCCAGGGTGAGGCAAGCTGATGATGTGAGGGATGCATGTCTGTGCTTGGAACTGTGGACAAGGCCCCTATGTCATATCCCATGGGAACACTGACCAGCACCCACATGTAGAGAGAGACAGGGCTCAAACGCTAGTTTGTACAACAAAGTACATCTCTATGCATGCAGGTGCTCTCCCTGAGGCTTCTCAGAACAGGGGAGGGGGAGCAAGGGGACTTTGACAGTTTTAGGACATCTGTAATCCTTGGAAATACTGGGAATGTGTATGCACAAGAGGGTCAGGTTCTTTTAAGATTGTCMTAGGATGGGCTTTTTCCCAGAGTGTATCTTAATCTGTATTAGTCTTTCATTGTACATTTATTCTTTTTTCTTGGCAGTACTGGAATGGGACTGAACYAAGGGGTTATACATGTTAGGAAAGTGCTCTACCATTGAGCTCATCCCCAGTCTTATTTTGGTAGTTCTTGAGTTATCAACTGGACCASAGCTCCATGGGGATAGCATTTCTCTCTTTTTTATTTTGTACTAGGGATTGAACTGAGAGGTGCTTTATCACCACTGAGCCACACCCCAGTCCTTTTCATTTTTTGAGACAGGGCTGCTTAGAGYCTTGCTAAGTTGCAGAAGCTGGCCTCAAACTTGTGATCCTCCTGCCTAAGCCTCCAGAGTTGCTGGGATTACAGGTGTGCACCGTTGTGTTTGGCCYTCTATAAGGACAGTTTTGCTTGCTGTTGTCTGCCCAGGGCTCTGCTCAGGGCCTGGCACATGACTCATACTCCAAAATGTGTGCTGAGGTGGGATCCTTCATTAAACCCTGGGCTGACCTTTTTCTCACTTCCTTTCCCAAAGAGTACAGCTGTGTTTCACAGTACTCCTCCTTGTTCTAGAGAACCCTTGCACCACAGCCCACGCCCCAGAAGTCACCTGGAATGACGATATCTCCGAGTCCCAGCATAGCAAAGTTGTCTGCTTCAAGGCCCTTCTCCAGCAGGTCCTGGGGAAACACCACTGCAGGGAGAGATGGGGGAGGAGTTGGCTGGAGCCCCAGCTTACCCAGACTCCCCACCCCCACCCCTGCTGTATGAAATGCACACATCTGTGTTTCTCGGGGCAGGGGGCTGATGATTGCAGGCCTGCTGGCAACAGTTCCATCTGGAATCACAGCTGGTTAAAGTGTGGAGAAATCTGGGGTCAACTAGGCTGAGGGTTTAATGCCTTTGTTGACCACACAGTTCTGACATCCATAGGTTTTCCATCTGACAACAGGAGTGTGGACAGATGGYGGTACTTGTTCTGAAGCAGTAGTGTGAACCTGGGCTATGGACTCTTTCTGTACCAAGTGAGAAAAGGCCATGCCACTGAAAATTCCTTGATTAACGTCCCTTACTCAGAATCCTGCTGCAGCTGTTAGCAGGGAAGTGTTATAAGTGGGCTTTAGGACTGGCGCCTGGCTCTGCTATCTTGTTGCACAGGTTACTCGGCTGCCTTAGTTTTCTTACTTGGAAGCACTCCCACAGGGTGGTACTGAGGGTTAGATAACCTGAACCACAGTACTGGCTGCTATGCCATGTCTTCTACTAACCCATCCCCGATTTTGTATCTTCCTGGTGGTGGTTTGAATGTGGTGTATGACTATGCCAAAGAGGACAATCCTGTTTCCAGAATTCCTGCCTTTCTTTGTGTCTAGGGGTATTTACACGACTCAGCTCTGGGCAACACTATGCACACAGAGGTGCCCTGGGGCTTGTGCTAAAATGCAGAGATATCCCCTGCCTGTCTACGTCTCCCTCATTGAACGGGGACTCGAACCCATTTAGTATGACTTCAGCATATGTGCTGTTTTTTTTTTTTTTTTTGGTACCAAGACATGACCACTGAGCTACATTGCCAGTCCTATTTTGTATTTTATTTTTGGTGCTGGGGATTGGACCTGGGGTGCTTAACCATTAAGCCACATCCCCAGCCCTTTTTAAATATTTTATTTGGAGACAGTGTCTCACTGAATTGCTTAGGGCCTCACTAAGTTGCTGAGGTTAGCTTTGAACTAGCAATCCTCCTGCTTCAGTCTCCCGAGCCTCTGGGATTACAGGCATGTACCACTGCGCTGGGCTTTTGTATTCTATTTAGAGACAGGGTCTCATCGAGTTGTTTAGTGCCTCGCCATTGCTGAGGCTGGCTTTGATCCTCTTGTCTCAGCCTCCCAAGCAGCACCACCTTCCCGGTAGCATGTGTGCTTTGCTATTGTTGTTGAAGATTGGGTCTTGCTGTGTTGCTCATGCTGGCCCTGAACTCTTGGGCTAATGTGACTTTCCCGCTTCAGCCTCTGCAATAGTTGGTACTACAGGTGCTATTATGCTTGACCAGCATCTGTGCTCTTAATCATTCAGCTCTTGAGCCTCACTTCTAGAAGACAAGATCTAGGCCAGGTGCAGTGGTACATGCTTATAATTCTAGCTATTTAGGAAGCTAAGGCAGGAGCATTGTTARGTTCAAGGCTGGCCTGGTAAACTCAGCAAAATCCTGTCTCAAAATAAAATAAAAAGGGTTTGGATGAAGCTCAGTGGTAAAGCACCTCTGGGTTTGATTCCCAGTACTGCAAAAACAAACCAACCAACAAACTTTAAGACTACAGATCTCCCCAATCTAGAAAGTCAGATTCCAAGCACCAGAAACTAAACATGAAAGTGTCACTTCCCTGTTCAGAGCCTTACAATGGCTCGTCCACTGCTTAATGGGCAGCGTCAAGTTCTTAGGCAGGAAATCTTGGCTTCTCCAAATCTGGCCTGTCTCCCTCTTTCCAGTCCCTTCCTTGCGGCCCTGCTGAACTCAGCTGCACTTCTCTGTGCCTCTGTAGTTCTTTGCTCCCAGGGTGTCCCATGCGTTTTCCTGCTTCTAGCCCTTTGCTGAAGTGGTAGACTCTTCTCAAATACTCATGCTACCCTTGAATCCTTGATAAATGAGCATTTCTTCTTTGTGACCCAGGAAAGGTGCTCCTGACATCCTGGCTGGCATCGCCAGGCTTCCCCATCCCTGGGCTCACCCATCGTAGCTTGTGGGGCATGAATTTCACGTGGTTTGCCCAGTATCTGTGTCCTTACTTTAGAGAACAGTCCTCCYTTCCCTGATAAACTTAGTTCTGGAGGCTGCCAAGTCATACTCTGACTCCTGGCCTTGGAGAGGACAGTAAACCAGGCCTGGGGAATGTTGGCCACCTTCCCGATAGTATCTTCTCCTTCCTTGCTATCTTGTCTGACTGGTTCAGGCCCCCTTTGAGCCTYGTGACCCTGGAGGGTGATTTATGGTTAGTCTAGGGCTGAGACTCCAAGCTAATCGTGCTTTTCCTATCCCCCTTTCTGAAGCCCAATTTGGACTTGGGTCTGTCCAAATCCCAATATTGGTCAGTAAAACATGAAGGAGGCTGAAAGGGGGATTTGAGGAGAAAGACCCCTTCCCTGATGGGACACGGTTTCCCCTCTGCGCCTCTGAACGTGGCCTGTGAGAAGCCAATGCCAGGAACTGTCATCCCATCTAGGAACCATGAAGGACTGAGCCAAGTGACAAGTGGACATACGGAGATTGGTGGGTTGGGTGAACCAAAATAACCCTGGCTCTTGGTGACTCCATTGAGGGTCATTAACCCACCCCTGACATTTCCTAGACCTGGGCTTGCTGTAGTATAACCAAATTTCCCCCTTCTTTAACGCTGCCAATAGTTTGGACTCCCTCGACCCTTTTCTTTTTAGCTGTTTTGGGGATTAAGTCCAGGGTCTTGTGAATACTTGGCAAGTGCTCTATCATTGGGCTACCCCCCTCACCCCCACACCTATTTGGACTTGGGTCTGTCTAAATCCCAATATTGGTCAGTGAAACATGAAGGAGGCTGAAAGGGGGATTTGGGGAGAAACACTTATGAACAATGGTTACGCTGAAGAACAAAATTAAGGCTGTGTAAGATGTGAGATGGGGAACACTGCTCTCAGTTCTCAGCATGGAAGTCTCCTGTTCTGGAAAGCCCCTGTCTGCCTCCCAACAGGCTGTTCCCCACTCCTGCTCATTTACCACTACACTGCATCATTACCAAGCAGCCCAAGGTCAGGGCCTGGGCAGAAGGCAGCTACTCATGAACACAGCCAAGAGAATACACGAAGAAAAGGAAACCAGGCTGGAGAGACCCATGAGATCTTGGAGGAGGAAGAGGTATGTRAGGAGGAGATAAGGGAGAAGTATTGACCAAAACAGGGACCATAAGCCAACTGGGGAGGGCAGGGTGTGTTCCCCACTGTGGGGTTGATCACTTACATTTTATTGGCGCCTCAAATGACTTGGCCACAGTCACCATAACGTTGGTACCGAACACCTGGAGGGAGAAGAGAGGAGTCTGAAGGGAGGTGAGGGGCTAGACGGGAAAGAATAGCTGTCCTTGGACTTCTGGATGTGCTGCTGCCTGACATGTATGGGGAATGGGACAGGGGCTGGCAGGCCCAGAGCAGAGCTGAGGTTGAGCAAGGTGACCACTCATCCTGGTTCTGAGCAACAAAAAGAAGAACTTCAAAGGTGACTGCACCAGCCAGGTAGCCTGTCTGTTCAGGGTTCTGTCCCTTTTGAGAGATTAAAAACCCTGGGCACAACCCACYCCATGGGAGAAGAGACCACCTGGGTCCAGGGAAAGTGTGCTTGAGCCGGGTTGACCTCAGTCCCTCAGTGGGGCCTCATAGAGTGARTGTGTTAAGTCTTGAAGCCCAGGGCTGGTGTGCAGCCAGAGCACAGCCGGCTTGTTCTCTAGGTCAGRGACCTTGATGGACCCATTCTACTGCCCTTGTCTGAACATCCCTGAGCCTCAACTTGTTTTTTTACAGAGATGTGGGATTAAGTTATACTTCTGCCAGGGCCATGAGGGTGGGTGAATGTCCCTGGGCACTGAGTGTGATCTTACAGATTGCCCCTGAGAGGACCAGCTTTGGGGAACTGACTTTTATCAGACAACTGCCATTTGGGCCAGAGAGGCAGAGGAATAGGGAGGTAGGAGGTTAAAGCTGGAAATCCTCGGTGTCCCTGCTGACTCACCCAGAAGACGTCGTAGATGAAGAGTCCACCCAGCAGGATGCAACCGGTGCTGACATTGTTCAGGTGCAGAAGTTCCACCCCATTAAGGGAGAAGGCCAGGCCAAAAAGATTGTTGGCAATCCAGTGCTGGGGAAACGAAGGGGTGAGACCAGATCGCTGTGCCCCCTTCACCCCAGCCTCCCTTTTTGCTCAGGTCCAGCTACTTACCTTCCGCAGCAGGTACCAGACGCCAACGATGCTGCTCAGGCCCAGGCACACCAGGTCCTTAGTGTCAAACTCATAGTTGACGATCTCTGGGCAGAGAAGCCAGGTAAGTCCACTCCCCAGGGCGGGACTGTCCCTCCCATATGTCAGCCTCTGGACTGAGGAGGGCATGGCTGTGGGCACTGTCAGAGGCCCTCAGGCCCAGGGGCTCAGCTGAGGCTGCCCCAGACTGGTGAGAATATTATGATGGAGAGARCTCACTGGAGCCTCCCCTAGTCCCCCAATTTTCTAGAGAAGGTTAAAGATACCCAGAGAGAGTACGGGTTTAATACAGGTTTAGTGGGAAGTGGTCCATGGTGCTGGAAGCACAGGCTCTGCCACCGGTAGCTAGGTAACCTTAGGGAAAGCAGTTCCCTCTCTGAGCTTCATCTGTGAAAAAAGGCAATAGCACCTCCCTCATAGGGCTGCTATGGGAGTGAGTCTGTCCTTACAATGTCCTTAGCACAGTGTGGGGTACACAGAAGTACTCAATCAATGCCAGCTGTTACTGGTCTTTAGCAAGGTCCTAGTACATTCTGGAAATTCTACTTTGCTATCAAAGGAATCAAGGTTACTGGCACCCCTAATTCACTAGCAGAGRAAGAAGAAGGAAAGAGATGGAGGACTGGAGAAAAGGCAGGAGGGAGTTCCTGTTGCTGCTCTTGTCGGGAGCCCCCGGTAGACATCCTGATGTCAGACCCATTCTCAGTTGCTTCCAAGCTTCCTAATGAGGAAGCCCAGAGAGGTGGTGGAGGTTGGCCAGGGTCTCAGGGTGCAGTCACTCCTTCCAAATTCAAGTGCAGCAGATTGCTGCTTGTCCCCCAATTTGTTTTCTCCTCTGTGGTAAGMGCACCCTAGTTTTTTTTGTTTTTGAGGCATCTGTTGAATTTATTCAGCATAACCACAGAGGCATCGTCACCATGCTGTCACACACAGACACAAAACACAAATACGACACAATATCCATATTTAGCACAAGTGGATTTCTTCTAAGGCTCATTTATATGTCTTCATGTGCCACAGGCCATCATTTAAATAATGGATATTTTCAATGCCGATTCCTTTGTTGACTTTCTCGATATCTTCTGCAGACATCTTCATGACTCCAACACACAGAGCGTGCTGTTTTCCTTCTGCCATGACCGCAACAATCGTATCTTCCGCGGCGGGATAAAGCTTTGCGCCAGAAGAAGTTAAACCCGGGCACATGATATTTGCGCCACTGAGCACAAATTTGATGGCTCCTTTATCAACCTGCTGGTGTGGCAGGATGAAAGGGTATTTGTGAAGTAATCTTAAGGTTGGGTAAAAAGGCCCTTTTCTTTGTCTAAAAAATAGTAACTCTCCATTTACCGTAAGGATTTCCATATGCTCATGGCATCGGACTATTTTGACGGGATCTTTCTTCGGCATGATTTGATTAAGCCATGGTTCGATACCTGGAAATTGCTCTATCAGTTGGTTCTTGATGCCCTTAATAACTGAAGTTTTCAACTGGATGCAGTTGGATACATTTTCCTTTTCGTCAAATTTCTTGAACATGATCCAAGGCGAAGGAAGTGGTGCCGACTGGGGTGGGCAGCAACGAGAAAAAATGAGATGCGGCCAGTGTCCGGATGATCTCCGTGCTCCAGGAAGGCCGGTGCGGACGGTCGCGGCCGTTGTCGCTAACCGGAAGACGGGTCAGCCGGCCGCGCTTTACGGCCCYGTAAAATGGACTACTTCCGCTGCTCTGAACCCCACGTCAGCGCTCTGCCGGATGTTCTTCCCACTAGCGATCCACTCCAGTGGGGGCAGCGGAAAGGGCGGGGCGTGGGCAGGAAGGAGTGACGGAGCAGCCGGTCAGGTGGCCGGAAGACTCCAGGGGCGCGGCTGGTGGTTCCTAACTGGACACGCGGCTGATGGTTCCTAACTGGACATGAGGCTGACCCGCTCAGGTCATGTTCTCCACCTTTCTCCAACACCCTCTGTAGCTAATGAGCCCACGACAGGGATGCCTGTCCTTCCCTCTGGCTGCAGTGTGAACCGATGGTAGACATCTCGGACGGGGGGGGGGGGGGGGGGGGTCACCACCGAGTATGGCAGAGCTTGAGACAGATGGGGCTTGAGACCCTACAGACTCTACGGGGCAAGCTTAGCTTTTTAAAAGAAAACCCCATCAATCATTTATTTGGCACAGATGCACTAGAGATGCAGAGAGGGATCACAACATCGCTGTGCTCTAGGGACAAAGCAGGATACGCTAGGCACCAAGAGAATGATACCTTCTGCAAGCTTAGAATTTCGGGGGATGGGGGACGAGAAAGAAAGGGGGGAGACCTTCCATTTGGTGAAGCCATTGATGATCTTGCTGTATTTGAACCCAGGATGTAAATAACCTGTTAATCCCAGCCTCTCTTAAGGTCCCCATGGTTTTCATTAAAACAAACATACAAAACCAAACCAAAACAAAACAAAACTGTGGAACTCCTTTTCCAAAATTTTAGGTGTGACCGTAATCACACTAAAAATAGACCCTATAAAATGGTCAYCAACAGAGGGGTTTTACTGAGTGCTTATGTGAGCCAGGCAGTGTGCTGGGTGCTTTCCACTAATTTACTCCTATTCCTAATAATTGTGCCTATGAGGAAGGTGCTAAATTATCATTTTTACTTCATAAATGGCAGGGGAAAACAAAACAAAAAATCCCCAACAAAATCACCCGGTGCTCAGGGAGGTAAGGCATTCACCTAGAGTCCCATGCCTAGGTGGTGGCAGAGCTGGGATATGAACTAAGCCATGAGATTCCAGAGCCAGCCTCTTCCATCGCTTACACTACTGAAGAACCCAATATTGGAAAGACAAAGGGGAGTGGAAGGGAAGACACCCAAGACATACCACAGGGGAAAGTGGGTGGCACTGACCTTCCTTGTTTTCCCCAGAGCCCTGTGTGAAGAGCAGCTGAAACTGTCGATTTGGGAAGCTGGCTGGAAAAAACTTATTCATGAAGGGGCTGGAAGGAAAGACAAAGCTGGTCGGCAAACACAGCCCCCATGGGCGACCATGGCTCTCATAACCCCCACCAAGACCCATTTAAAGCTCTATCTCCTGGCACCCTCACAGCTGCCCTGCCAGGTAGTTGCTATTTTCTCACTCTACAGATGAGAAAACCCACGTTCTTAGAGGGTAACTTGCCCAGGGTCACACAGGGAGATAACGTCTGAGCCGAGATTCAAACCTACGGGTCTGAACTCTTAGTAACTTCTATATCACCTCTTTATTTTACCACACACAGATACAGAGTTTAGGCAGACAGACTTTTGTGTAAAACAGTTTTTGGATGAGTCAGGCATTCCCAAGTCTGGCCCCCACACCACCTATATGAGAGCCCCTTTTCAAGAAGCTCATTTCTGGGCTCCTTTCTACACCTACCAAGTCGGATGACCTGATAGTCACCCCACCACACTCCAGAATTTGCTATCCTACTTTCCAGCAACAGGCTGAGTTTTACAAATACAGCTGGAATTGATCAGCCAGATGAATCATAGCCCCAGGGCAGGATTACCCCCATATTCAGTTCTTCCATGAGGCCTCTCTTGCTCAAGACCAGCCTGGCCTCATGATTACCCAGCATGCCCCACTTTCTGGCCAGGCAGGGAACAGATGTTATTTTCCACACCATCTTCAGAGCAAGATAGCCTACAAAGGCCTCTTGGCCCAGCCTGGTCTTGGGATTGGTAATACTGTGGAGCGGCTACCAGCCTTGGCAACCCAGGCCTGAACCCTGCTTTGTCACACACCAGCCGTGTGGTCCTGGGAGAACCACTTCAGTGGCAGAGTCTTCTTGGGCTTCAGTCTCCTCACCTGTACGTAAGATCATAATACCACCTGTCTCAAATGGTTGTGTGACGATAGAAAGCAGGTAGATGAGTGGTTTAGCCCAGCCCTGGGTCTTGCAGCAGAGATGTTGAAGAACTGTGAACTTCTGTCATGGTGCACTCTTCTAGAGCCTCAGCTTGAAAGCATGTGACATCAGATCAAGTTGGTAATGAGGAAGGCAAATCCCAACTAACAAGCTACTTTCAGCTCAGTTTGCAGAAATTGCTTTTCGGGAAKTCTAAAATCAGGGTGTGTGTGGTAGGTATGGGTAGGGAGGTGACCTGAGGAGCTAAGACCTTCACCTCTTCTTTGGGACTGGCGTCTTCTTTGGGAGGTTAGTGCTCCACTTGTCAACCAGGAGAGTAGGGATGGTTAAGAACACGAGTGCTGGAGTGACACTTCGTAGATTCAAGTCTCAGTTCTCATAATAGTAGTGTGAACTTCTCTTTCCTCATCGGAAACACTACAACAATAGCTTTCTCATAGAAATATTAAAAGAATTAAGTGAATGCTGGGGAATGAATCCAGGACCTGATTCATGCTGATCAAGTGCTCTACCATTGAGGAATACCACTGGCCCCTAGACTCAGGTCTTTGTTACTGAGCAAAGATGGGCTGCCGGGCATGGTGGCACATGCCTACAATCCCAGCTATTCGTGATTGAGACAGGAGGATTGAGAGGATTTATTTTAAAAAAATAAAAAGGGCTGGGATGTAGCTCAGTGGTAGAATCCTCCGGGTTCAATCCCAAGTACTATAGAACACAAGGGAAGTCACATGATCTTGCTGGTGTGAGTCTATAAACTTGAGGGTAGGGGCCCAGGTTATCATTTCTGACCCATCTGGGCTAGCCATGGTGTCTTTCGACACTGGTAAATGCTTGCAGAACAACTCTGAATGCACTTTCGTAGAAGGCACAGATTCTTTCTGGTCTTTGATGGCTCACATTAAACCTAAAGGTCACTGCTTCCTGCTAAGAAACCACATCCTGGTGCCCTTATCTGGGAGTGGAAGGTAAGGGTTAGTGAAACTGATGATGTGGCTTGTTCCTCCTGGGGTGGCAGATTTGGGCCTTCTGTTCTCTCAGAGTTAGCTGCTTGGGATATAAGCTCAGTCAGCGGTGACAAGAAATAAGCCCAAGTTCCCTTGCCAGGAGGATGTCTGGGATTTGGYTAGGGCTTGAGTTTTGGTGACTATAGATGACTGAAGGCAGGCTGTGGTCCCTGCCTTTCCCCAGGACAGGGAGCTGTGGTTTGTTCTTGGAGGCCTGAGATGGGTGGAGGGATCCTGAAGGAAGCACAGCCTGGGCTGCCTGGGCTGCCATGGCTTGGGGCTCAGCTCTGCTCAGTCTTTCCACAGACCTCTCCTTTCCAACTCTCAGCACAACACAGGTCCGCCCTCCTTAAGCCTCCCTTTCCCTCATTTTTGCCCAAACTGAAAAGAATATTGGCTTTGGAGTCAGACAGACCAGAGCTCAAAACCTAACTCTGCTCTTATCAGCTGCAAATCCTGGTGGTCATACACCCCCCGTTCTGAGCTCCATTTCCATCTTGAACTTTTGCACCTTATGAGAATCCCGAGGAAGCTCATGTGACTTTCTTTGAGGAAAGTATTTAAGAAAATTCAACTTAATTGAAGAACAGTCAATTGAATCTTTGTATCAACTCTCTAAAAAATATGATTAATTGTATTTCCCCTTTTTATTAAAAATTATTTTCAAAAAAATTTCACTGGATTAATTTCTTTTCCATATACATTTCACAATAACATTTTCATTCATTGGAYAGTCTTTGGTTCCTATCAGATTTTTCAGTGCACAGTTCTGACCCTGAATGGTGAGCACACTTCTACCCGCAGCCATCCGTTATTTTAACAAGATCTAATTTTCCCAGGTCAAATTTTGTTGCTCTAAGTTTTATTAAGAAAATGATTTTTCTGTTAGTTTCTAGTCATTAACAAATTTTACAATGTGCAGTTTTAGCAAAGCTGATGGTTTTTTCTTTTCTTTTTAGTGGTACTGAGGATTGGATCCAGGGCTTCATGCACTCTACCACTGAGCTATACCCTAGCCCTTTTAAATTTTGATAGGATCTTGCTAAGTTGCTGAGGCTAGCCTCGAACTTGCAATCCTCCTGCTCATCCTGAGTAACTGGGATTATAGGCATATGCCACCGCACCTGGCTCTCTTGGTTTTTCTATTGACAATATTCATCACTAATAATAGTGAATTGGTTAGAAGACAGAGAAACAATTGTTTCTTGGCTAATCTGTAAGAAATCTGGGACAATGTCTCTCAGTTATTGTTCTAAATGAAAAAAAAAATGTCTTTGGTGTCAAAACGATAAAGGTTCTAAACACCCTGCTTGGGAAGTTGGATAGAAAAATGACCTTTCTTGCAGGGCTGCTGAGATAAAGTGAAATAATTCCTCAGCACACAGTCTAGCAGTGGCTTTCAAGATATATTGGCTTCCTTCTCTGTGTAGTGGTAGTTGGGCTATGGGGAGATCTGGGGTGTCAAGGCTTTTACAGATGGTAGGGTGGGATGAGCTAGACTTGCAGGGAGGGTCTTCATCAGTGTGGGAAAGAATGGCTGGAATGATGGCTTCCCACTCGTTCCCCAGGTTCATCATGACCTCAGAGGTCTGTCCTGACACTGCTAGGTTCTCTGGACCTTGGTTTTTCAGGATGGGGAATGGGACCAGAGATCTCCTGAGTTGGCTAGAAGCAGAGTTTTTGGGTAAAGGGTCAGTGAAGTAAAGACAATACTGACTTCAGTCTCAAAACTATAGCTGAAAAACCAGCTATAAAACCTTGGGCCAGCTTCTCTACTACCCGAGTGCCACCTGACACTGAGCCCTAGGCAAGCCACACACAGCGTGGCTACTCTGATCCTTCCTGCACCTCTGTGAGGGAGGACAGTCTATAGTCTCTATTTTATAGGTGGAAAAACTCATGCTCAGAGACTTGAGTAACTTAATTACAAAGCTGGCAGAGCCAGGCCTTGGTCCCAGGGTGCCTCTGGAGCCTACGTTCTGACCGCCACTGTCYGGTCAGCATTCCTGGAGAGTAAGGCCACGCCCAGGTGGGAGTCCATTGTCTACAGAGGCAGACCCTGCTCTTTCTCTTGACTACTCTGGGAACATCCTGACAGTGAACCCTCAATAGGCATGGTCCTTCTGGCTCCTGGCCTGGTCTCTCTTCGGCACCTCTTCCAGTCCTCCTACCCTTGAAAGCTTAGTTCAGGTTGACTTCCTTTCTTCTGGGAACTTTTCCTGGTCTGCTGCCACTGCTCAGTCTTACCAATGGTTTTCAGCCTGAAGCTGTACAAGTTCCACTTGTTGAGTGGAACAAGGCTGCCACAGGTCTGCAGTGCACAGGCTAGCCCTGCACAGGGAGAACGCCAATGGGAGTTCCCTGTCCTGAGAACACTGGTTCAGATCGCTCACCYCATGAGGAGGTGGTCTGAGCAGGGAGGTGGTGGCAGAAAGATGGGTACTGGGGCCACACAGACCTGAGTTTGAATCCTGGCGCTGTTGCTTATCAGCTGTATCACCAGAACTTTTTTTTTTTTCTTTCCTGATACTGGGATTGAACCCAGTGGTGCTTTACCACTGAGCTATATCCCTAGTCCTTTTTCATCCTCCTGAGTCACTTGGATTCCAGGTGTGCTTCACCACACCTGATACAGAGCAAAGTTCTTAACCTCTCTGAGCTTCTGTTTCCCTGACTAACCTAGGATTAAAAGAAAGAGCTAAATGCAAGTTTCTCTGGTACGTTAACACAGATAGTAACAAAGTTAACAGTTATTGAACATATTAAGTGCGAGAAACCAAGCTAAAAGCTTTCCACATGACCCCAGAAGGAAGRTGTTATTATCTTCTACCACACTGGTGAGGAAATTGAGGCCAGAGAGATTAAATAACTTGCCCAAGGTCATTGGGCTATTAAGTGGCAGAGTCTGGATTTAAAGTCAGGTAGTCAGATTCCAGAGCTTGCCTCCCTAATCTTTCCCCATACTGCTTCTCTCATGAAAAAAGACCACGCGTCAAGATGCTTGGCAGGCCACAGTACCTGGCGTTACTCATCTCAGTACTCTGACAACACCAGGATGTTACTGCTCACAAACAACCTTCCCAACAACAGTGGCAGTGGGAAACATCCACGGTTACTTTTATAGGTCCCTATAAAGACACTGTAGCCCAGACATGTTACAGTTCTAGTCCTAGGTCACCTTTAGTGACACAAAGGAAAGATTCCCTTGGGTTTTTGGGCCAAACCCGGCTCTGAATGACACCAAAGGTCATGTTCATATCCAAAACCCTGTTCTGGCTCCTGTGAAAGCTGCTTCATATGCTGCAGAGATGCCTTCTGACCTGATGGTGTGGGACAACGCCAGGATTCCCAGCACGAAGAAATACATGGACAGCAAGAGGTTGATGTACTCCTGGGAGAATATCTGAGGCAGAAATACAAAAAGAAACAGGAAGTTAGGATGCCTGTGGCCAAAAGAAAACTATATATAGAGTCCCAGCTTCTTTTCTGGAGGTTGGTCTCATGCCCCTGGAGTCAGGGGACAGTTGGGAAGAAACCTCAGACAAAATCAGGGCACTCCTATTTTCTATGGCTGTGAGAAAAAAGGGTGGGACTCCAAGCCCCATCCTGTACCTCCCAAAGGAGTCTAGAGGCGTGTGCCCGTGACTGCATTATCTGGAAACAGGCAATTATCGTTTGTGTCCAGAGTCTTGCAGAGTGGTCCTGCATGGATGGGGAGCCCAAGGCACAGAAACCTGAGAGCTGTTGGAGCTGCAGTACTTGCTCTTCCATATCTCCTCTCCCTGTCCCCAAATCCCAGGAGCCCTTACAAAGTGGCCATTACAGCCACCATCATGCTAACTGCAAAGTATCTGGGTGCCCTGCCCCACTCTCCATGTCCACTCCACTGATAACTCCTCCTGATAACTGTGGTGGGAGGTTGGGACAGCAGGCCCTGATAGTCACATCCTGGCCACCTTATTGTCAGGTGAAACAGGACATATTCTCTGTCAAACGTTCTAAACTCAAGTGTCACGTTTTAAGTCTGGGCCTTGGCTATGTCATGTTCCTCCACACTTGCTGTATCCTTGCTGAATTTGCTACTGTGATGGTCTAACTGCGAGGGAATGATGTGCTCATCTGCGAAGGGCGGGGACACTGGCCCTCTGCTCTCAAGTAAGGCTGTGATGGAATGTGTTTAAATGCCAACTTGATCACAGTAGTCCCCTGGTTAAATCCTTGCAGTGGCTTCCCACTGTTCCCAGAAGCTGGAGGCCCACACCCTTGCACTGACCTCTCCGCTCCTCTTCTATGTGCCCCAGTCACACTGGCTTTTGCAGTGTGATGGCTGTGTTACACCACCACCCACAGGTCACTTGGGCATGTACTCCTGGGCTGCTCTCTTTTCCCTTCACCTCGCCAGCCCTATTCATCCTTCCTCAGGCCAAGTTTTCCTCAGGTAGTCCCCCCAGTAATTCCATGGACATTTACTGGTTTACCACGCTGGGCAGGACATTGTGCTGAACACTAGGAATATAGCTAGCAATAATGTGAAGTGCCTGCTTGGAGTTCACCTGCCAGCGAGGGAGAAAGAATCTCAAAAGAAACAATGATCTATAACGTACGGTTAGGTGTGCTGGCGCTAAGGAAAGCAAAGCAGGGCAAGGGGTTAAGTGAAGGGGCTGTTATAGTTTGGATATTAAGTGTCCCCCTGAGAAGCTCATGGTGGTGTAAACATGATACCCAATGCAGCAATGTTCAGAGGTGGAATGATTAGTTTATGAGAGCTGTAACCTCATAAATGGGTTAATCCATTCGATGGATCAATTTGAGTGGAATACTGGGTAGCAACTGTGTGTGGGGTGGGGCCGGAGGAAGCAGCTCACTGGGGATGTGCCCTGGGGATTATATTTTCTCACTGGCTCTCTACGCTCTCTCAGTTCCTGGCTGCCATGTGCTGAGGACCTTCCTTCCACTGTGCCCTGCTGCCATGATGTTCTGCCTCACCTCAGGTCCAGAGCAATGGAGTTGGCTGACCATGGACTGAATCTCTGAAAATGTGAGACCCAAATAAACTTCTCTTCCTCTAAGTTATCTTGTTGGGTATTTTGGTCACAGTGATGAAAAACTGACTGACATAGGGTGAGAGCTGCTACTTCAGACAGTGGCCACGGAAAGCCTTCAGAAGGGAGGACACTAGAATAGAACCCTCAGAGCGGGAGGAGGCTGTGGAGATGCTCAGGGAAGAGCACCTGAGGCAGAGGGAAGGGCAGGTAGAAAGATCCTGAGGTGGGTGCTTGTTTGTGTGTGTAGGGAACAGTAAGGGCCTGTAAGCCTGGGGCAAGGGAACAAGGGAGCATCAGGAGGTGAGGCTAGGGAGACAGGAGGGAGCCAGACCCTGCAGTACCACGAAAAATTTCAGATTCACCTAAGTGAGATCGGTCGGCACTGAGGGCTTTTGCAGTGTGATGGCTGTGCCACACTACCACCCACAGGTCACTTGGGCATGTGCTGGGACATGATCTGATKGTCTGACAGGATTCCTCTGTTGCTATGCAGAACAGAGACCCTGAAGGACAGGAGTGGAAGCAGAGAGCCCAGTGGGTGAGGAGGGCCCTACAAATCCAGCAAAGGGAATACAGTGACCTGCATTGGGGGACATGGAGTAAAGTGATGAACAGCAAAAGACTCTAAATCTGTTCTGGAATCAGGATTGCAGGAAGTGCACAGGGACTGGATATGAAGGATGAGAGGATCAAGGACAAGGACTCCCGGGGTTTTGGCCAAGCAGCTAGGTGGACAGAGGTGCTCTTAGATGGAGGTTTGGGCAGGAGCAGGGTTCATCCTAGGCGGGTTCTTCTGTGCTTTCCTGCCTCTGGGGGACCTTGTCTTCACACCCCTTCTCAGAGCTTTAACTTCATATTTCTCTATGTGACTGGTGTCTGTCTCCACTACTCAACAAGATGCTCCTTGAGGGCAGGGGGGGTTGGCTTTTTTCTTGCTACGGTGGTGTCCCAGGCACAGGGCCCAATGTAGCAGGCACTCAATAAATGTAGAAGGACTGAGCGGATGAGCAGTCCAGTGCCTGCCTGGATGAGTACTACTGTAGAGGAGGCACCTGGATTAGGCCTCATCTGTGGAGATGTTCTGTGCCTCACGCAGTGTTCTTCCAATGTGGGCTCCGAGGAAAAAAGCTTGCTCAGGCCACACTCATAAGCTGGCTACTTTTGACTGTGTGGTTATGGGAATTGAGCACTAAGATGCACTTTGCTTTGTGCTTTGGCTGCCAGAAAGTTAGAGCCACAACTGTGGTCCATTTCTGGCAAGAATACAAGTCTTTAGGCCACAGGGTCTGGGTAATGTCCTCACCCAAGACTTGTTTTTTCCTATTTCAACTTTTTTCTTCACCCCTTTGTTTTTCTCATGCCATTGGATTTTATTTTTATAAGCTGCCTAAAAGCAATTGGGTAAATGAGAGGAGATCAAGTAAATGCTATCATGTTGAGAAATGCTGTTGTGTTTTCAAACTTCATATTTTCCTAATGCCTCAACATCCCCACACACAGGCAGTGAGCACCCCACCCAGGTAACAGAGGCAGCAGTGTGATAAGGCTGGTCCTTACACAAGTTCCCCTTATTTCCCTCCCCAGACTGTGCCCTTGTGACATTTAAACACACCAATGACAATGATCCCCTCATGCCTGTGTTCTCTGCACTGAACTCCAGTGCAGGCACCTGCCCAGGGGTCCTTCTTCTCACCTGCACAGTTAAATCTGCTCGCTGGGACTTCTCCCCCATGGGTGCCTGTGTGCTGTGCGGTACCTCCTTCTCTAGGGCCTCTGAGTATAATAGATCCTGTACTTCCACTCGCCTCTCTGAGAATTGAGTTCCTTGGCTGTGTTGGAATGATCCTTAAAGACTCTGCAAGGGGGAGTTCCCCATTTATCACACAGTTGAGGACAAGAGGGAACATTCTAAACCAGGCAGTAAGCCCTTCAGAAAGGCATATGAAATGAAAGGATCTACTACACTCAGAGATTGGAGAGAGGGAGACTCTTGGGCAAGTGCCTTTATGGGGTCAAGGCAGAGCACACAAACAAAAGACTGGAGGGGATTTCACTGGTATGTCTGAATATCTTGACATCAAGGTCAGGGGGGAGGGCTGGAGTGGGAAGTGGTGACAGAGACCAGCCTTAACTACACCTGGTCACCTGGACAGGATGCTTTGAGCTTGACTATGGGGATGCTGTCATTTCAGGAAAAATTCTAAGAATGTCTAATGCAATTTCAAATGCCAGTACAGCAATGAGAAGTCAGAGGAAGAAGTGGAGTAAGAGCCCTGTGGTAGGTGCTTCTGCTGTTAAACCAACCAGCCAACTAGCTATCAGGTTGAGATTCCTGAGGAGCCTGGTGGCTGCCCTGTCCACAACTGCCTTTCAGAAATCTCCCCGTGGACACTACAGAGGCAGGGGGTAGAGGTGGGACTGTGAAAGGGAGCTTCCCGCCCAGAGAGGAGGGTTGGCTGAGCAATGGCAGTCCTGCCTTAAAAAATGGTTCACACCCTCTGCTGTCAGATACTCCTTTTGGAGGGATCTAGCCTAAGGAAAGAATCCTAAATCCTAAATATATTAGGCGGTCTTGAGGCAAGGGACTTGGTGTCTTCCTGCACTGAGCACAACAGAGWCTTGAGAAATCTGCCAAAAGCAAAGTCAGAAGCAACAGGCCCGCTGTGCCCAGAGCCACAGAGATCTCTGAGGCAGAGGGAGAGGAAAGGAAGCAGAGGGAGACACACTGCACAGCTCTACTTACAGCAGCTCGACTCACTCAGACACAAACACACCACACACTAGACACACTAGAGCAGGCACTTCTGGTGGAGACGGAGATGAAGGTGGGAAATGGAGGCGGACATTAGGGGTGAAGTAGGGGAACAAACAAGATGGGGCACCTGAGGGTGGTATGCCGTGAACCAAGGCATTTGATAAGATATTCACCTGAGGTCCAGGGGAAAAAAAGGGGTGGTGGGGGGGATCAGCAAATAGCCAATGCTCTTTGGTACATCCTTATTTTTCAGAGTAAAAATCAGAATGACATTTTCTGTTTGAAGTGACGGGGGTACTGTAAGTCAACTGTGATGTATCTGCCTGTAGGCATATTCTGAAACCGTTAAAAACAGTAGTTATGATTGAACAATGAGATAGTGATGCAACAGGAAACAGGCATGAAAAATTAGGCATTTGCTTCATTTACAGAATAGCAAAACCCAAAAACGTGGATGCTACCTAACACAGTGGACAGCACAGGGAAGCTAGCACACTTGTAACTGCCAGTAGGAATGGAAAACTGCCCCTTTGGAGGGCAATTTTGGTACTATCTAATTATAAAACAAGCCTCTGCTTGACCTGGGAACACTGCAGACATACTTGAAGAAAATTTGTGCATGTGCCAAATACTTCATGCCAAAATATGTGCAGGAAGACGTTCATAGCAGCACTACTTTGATATTCTAACAGTGGACACACATCCTCAGGGGTATATCATATAACAGAACCACGGGCAGCTTAAAAAGAATCAGGTGGATTGGACTGTGTTGATATAAAAATACTTTCATGGTGAGAGCTGTAGATTTGATAAATATACTAAAAATATAATCCTAGATCTATGTATAACAGAGCCACAATAAACTAATATTGAGGAGAGGATTATGGCTCATTTGTATTTTCTTCCCTTAGTCTGAAATTCTCTTTCTTCTTTAAGGTGCCGAGGATAAAACAAACCTAGGCCTTGGGCATGCTAGGCAAGCACTCTACCAGTGAGCCCACCTCCAGCCCCAGAAAATAGTTCGATTATATATATATATATTTTTAAAAAAAGTTTCAAGGAGAGTTTGCAGTAACATGAGAAAATGCTCATGATGTTATCAATGTGAGGTGAGAAAAGCAGCTACAGACTGAATACACCACGTGGTCACAGCCATGGAGAAACCATGCACGGGAAGAACGCGGAAGGACACACCTCCAAAGGGAAACTGTGACTGTCTCTGGAAGTGGGGTTTTGGATGATTGCTGTTTCCCCCTTTTTACTTTTCTGTGTATTCCAGGTTTGCAACACTGAGCCTGTGTAACTTTTATTGGGAAAATAAACCTCGATAAATTAAAAAAAAAAAAAAAGGCGATTAGTATGGTAGAGGTAATGTCAGAGACAYAAGCTATACCCCAGCCCAACACATACAGTACAATAAAACCAAATTGGCATCATGAAACAGAACAAAAAAACTACATGGAGAAAAGAAATAGACTGGCAGGAAAGGTCCCAAACATGGACAATAGCTGTCTCTGGGTAGTGGGTCTATACGTAAATCTTTAATTTCTCCCTGCTCTTTATTTTCTAGAATCAAACATGCATGGCTCCTGTGATGAGAAAAATAAAACAAAAGAAAATAAAGTTATTTAAACCAAATGACATCACAGGTGGCAAACAACTTACTTTGAAAAAGAGGTAGAGCCCCAAGAGTGTGCAGCTGGCGATGATGGGGAAGCGGGCGGCATCCCGGCTGGTGATGGTTTCAGGCATGTCCGAGGCATTCTGGAGGAGAGAAGAGAGGCAGCGCTGAGTGGGGCTCTGGTCTGTCTGTCCTCTGTGGCTGGCTGCTGATGGGATTCGGTGTTCCAACAACTCATCTGGTGCCTCAAGGCTTTTGCTTATGCTAGTCCTGCTGCCCTGGGCAAGATAATCTGATCCCCTCATTTTCCCATTGAGGACATCTGGACTGTGGTGAAGACCATCCAGAAGAACCCAGGGCAYGTGTGGCATGTCTGAGGAGAAGAGCCATGGCAGAGGCAGTTAAAGCATGTGACAACTGAGAAGGGGTAGGGGGTTAGAAGAGACAGAGAGAGAGAAAAAAAAAGGAAACAGGGCTGGGGATACAGCGCTTGCCTAGCGTGCAGGAGGCCCTGGGTTCAATCCYCAGCACCACAAAGGTGTGGGGTGGGGGGACACGCAAAAAATGAACCACTGAGAGAACTGAATATGGTTAAAAAAAAAACACTATTACATTTATAAACGGCAGATGCTACTGTTGGCAAGAATGTGATGTAGGCAACAGGACCATTGAATGATATTTACATGAAAAAGAACTGAATGCAATCAAACTGACAGTGGAGTAACAGTGTAACATAGGATTTAAATTAGCTTCATAGAATTAATGCCAAAAGACTTTTCCTCACCGTCCTCAAAGGCCTAGCAAACACTTGCTGCCATGAAGCCCTTCCAGATTCCCCCACTGGGATAAGCCAACTCCCAACTATTTCATACCATAACCACCAAAATCCTAGCAAAGGCAAAAGAGACACCCATGCCAAGGTGAAATTCTTTCCATAGCAGCCACAGGCTCGTCACAGTGTTCAATATTCCACTGTTGCCACGTCCATCTCGTGAAGAAGGCACCAGCATTCCTTGGAGAAGGGATGCCATTCAGCTGTGGAATCTTGCCAAGAGTTTGGCTCAGTGCTGGCTCTTAAAAACCAACAGGAGGGCTGGGTTTGTGACTCAGTGGCAGAGAGCTTGCTTTGCACATGTGAGGCACTGGGTTCGATCCTCAGCACCACATAAAAATATGTAAACAAGAGATATTGTGTTCATCTATAACTAAAATACACACACACACACACACACATACACGTTTAAAAAAAAAAAACACAATATGAGAGGGGAGCTACTGGAGGGGGATTCTGGCTCAAGGAGGTTCTTCTGCCCCAAGGTGGAAGACTGCAGAAGGGGAATGAGATGGGAGTACAGGGTAGCAGCCCAGGAAACCATCACTGGGAGAGGGAGGGAAACAGCGGTGTGTTGCATCATTGGCTTGAGTACAAACCTATCCAGCCTTTTGGGGAGGGCAATYTGGCAGAATATGTCAAATCATAATTTGCACATGCCCAAGGAAATAAAAAGATTGACARACAGGAACTACAAATGACTTTTTAGTCATAGAAAAAAGTTCATTTTTCACTTTTTTCCACCCCCTGAAGTGCTGGGGATCAAACCTAGGACCACTCACATGCTAGGAAAGCTCTCTACCGCTGAGATACATTCCCAGCCCTTCACTCTTGAACTTGAGATTCTCCTGCTTCAGCCTCCAGAGCTGCTGGGGTTACAGGTGTGCATCACTATGCCCAGCTCCCACCTCTCACTCTCAATAAGTGAACCTGAAATTGAAGTACACTGACATTCAATTTTTCCTCATAATGGAAAAAAATCCACTTTTGGTCTTCTGTACAGATGACTTGGCAACACATGTCAAAACCAAACCACAAATGCGCGGACCCTTTGATCAAACAAATATACTTCTGAGAATTTTTTTTTTTTTACAGATGAAACTCTCATACCAGCAAAATGATGCCTATGAAGTACATCCAAGGTATTCCTGGCTGTTAATCGGTTGCTGGTGACTGAAGCAAGTCATCTGCATTCTGTGTACCAATTTGCTCATCTGTCAAACAGGAGGACACCCTCTTAACTTACTTCAAAAAAGAGCAAAGAGGCTTAAACCAAATGAGATGTGTAATGCCAAAGAGGTGGGCAAACTGTAAAGTACTGTGATCACAGGAGGCTGTGATTACTAGGGAGAGGTGAGTGAGGAGCCCCTTTGCAAACTGCTGTGTGTAGGCTGGGCAGCAGGCCCTCCCCTCTGGAGCCGGGAGCTCTGTGTGAATCACTCTCCAGCAGCTTCGCCAGGAGGTGGGGGTGGGGAGAGTGAGCAATACCATTACCAAGAGGCCAGTTTCCTTCCTTCCCTCTTTTCTACCAGGCTGTTTTTTTTTTTTTTTTTTTTTTAAATTTCTTTCTTTCCTAGTTTTTGGTGGTACTGGGGATTGAGCCCAGGGCTTTACATATGCTAGGTAAGTGTTTCACCAATGAGTTACACTCCAAGCCCTTTTATTTTAGTTTTTTTTTGGTACTGGGGATTAAACCCAGGGTTGCTTAATCATTGAGCCACATTCCAGGGTCTTTTTTTACGTTTTATTTTGAGAGAGGGTCTCACCAAGTCCTTAGGGCTTCACTAATTTGCTGAGGCTGGCCTTGAACTTGCAATCCTATTGCCTCAGCCTCCCAAATTGCTGGGATTATAGGCATGTGTCACCACGCCCATCCCTTTTATTTTTAGGCAGAATCTCTAGGTTGCCCTGGCTGGCCTTGAATTTGTGGTCCTGCTGCTTCAGCTCCAGAGCAGCTGGGATTACATGCATGAGACACACCATACCTGGCTTAATTTCTGTTTTTTTTTGGCAGCAGTTTGTGGTGGGACTTGGGCAAATGCCTCAGCCTCTCTGTGCACCTCCACAAATTGAATACGATTCCTGTGTGACAGCAGAGTAGGTACAAAATAAACCAGACAGCTCCTGACCTCGGAGTTCCCAGGAAGACAGGCCAAGACCTTGACAGGTAAATAGTACAGTGACATAAAACAAAACAAAACATGTATACCGATGTGTGATGTGATTCATGGTATGAGTGCAAAGTGGTTAAAGGAGGGCTGAGGTCAGAAGTCCCACCGGGACTCCAATTGCACTCCTTCCCAGCTRTGGGACCTTGGAAGGTGATTTTTCTCTCTCAGAGCCTCAATTCCTCAGTTGTAAAATGAGTTGTGAGGATTCCCATTTCTGCATAGGAAGTACTTGAGTAATCATTCAAGCTGTATACACTATTTTTWAAAATTTTTCTTTTTTTAGTTGTGGATGGACACAATATCTTTATTATGTATTTTTATGTGGTGCTGAGGATTGAACTGAGTGCCTCACTCATGCAAGGCAAGTGCTCTGCAAATGAGCTACAACCCCAGCCCCGAGCTGTATACACTATTCATATCACTTTTATGAATGAGGGAATCATGAGTATATAGGGAAATAAAGGAGTGTCAGTGGTGCCAGAGCAGATGCAGCTTGAAAGCCAGGTACAGAGTCAGGTATGCAGTAGAACTGACTGAGTTGAGGAGTTTGCTTTGTGCACAAGGAAATGAAGCACTCATCAAGCAGAGATCTGCATATACAGAGGCCCMGGGCTGGGAAGTACACAAGGGCTTTTGTAACTTCACCTATAAACCATTGTTAAGGCTCATCTTCACAGATTCCCTCCAATTCAGCCAATACCTGGAGAGGAAGAGGCTTAACGTTATTTGATGACAAACTAAGGTTGTGCAGATGCTCCACCTATCAGAGAAATCTGGTCTCCTCTGTGGGTGACTGTTATAAATATCTCATGCTGCAATGGTGAGTCAGAATGGGAGACATCAAATCTGACCAGCAATATTACTAATAAGGATAACGTTTATTGAGAACTTTCGGTGTGCCAAGCGGTGTTCTTGGTGTTTTACATGACCTCATCCTCACAAAACAGGTACATTTTACAAGTGAGGAAAATTTGCTTAGTGTAACACAGATGGCAGGCAGCAGAGCCAGGATTCAAACTGTGGTGGTCTGTTTCCAGAACCCAGGCTCTTGGCTACCWTTTACTAGTCGACCTCTCTCTTTCCTATCTGGAAAAGCCTGCTGGAAAGTTGTGATAAAAAGATGCTCAGGAAGCCTGTGACCTTCCTAAGGAACAGAATGCTGAAGGTAAGAATTAGCTAATCCTTTCTGCCCTTTCTTCTTGTGGTACAAAGGATTGAACTCAGGGGTACTCTACCCCTGAGCTACATTCCAGCCCCTTTTAAAGTTTCATTTTGAGATAAGGTCTGGCTAATAATGGGAAATAATAAATATATATAAAGATATTAATTTCAGCAGGGTTTGTAACAGCCAAAGACTCAAACAACCTAAATGACCACAGGCCTCCTAAGCCAATGTTCTCCAATTTGGGTGTGTATCAGAATCATGGGGTGGGGGGGGAAGCTCTGTTAAAACACCCCCTGTTGGGCCCACCTTGAGTTTCTAATTCTGAATCTTATTTCTCACAAGATCCCAGGTGATGCTGGTGCTGCAGGTCCAGGGACTACCCTCTGAGACCAGTGCTCTAAACAAAATGAGAGGTGCAGGTGGTACACCACAGCTGTTAAAAGAAGAACATGAAACTGGATGTGGTGGTGCACGCCTGCAATCCCAGCAACTTGAGGCTGAGGCAGGATTGTAAATTCAAGGCTAGCCTCAGCAACTCAGCCTCTCAACTCAGATTTGAGACCCTGTCTCAAATAGAAAATAAAAAGGTCTGGGATGCAGCTCAGTGGTAAAGTGTTCCAGGGTTCAATCYCCAGCACAACAACAAAAACAATAATAATAACAGCAGCAAAAAAAAAAAAAAAAAAAAAAAARAGAGAGAGAGAACATGACCATAAYATACTAACATGATTAGATCTCCAAAATACATTCAATGAAGAAAGCAAGGTGCAGAAAAGACTGCACACATAATAAAATATAACAGTTACATAACTAAATGGGGACACATGCTTACTTACTGTACAGTCTGCCTGGAAGGATATTTAAGAAACAGGTGACAGGGGCTGCTTCTGGGGAGGGAAATTGGGCAGCTGGGGTGGAGGGAAACTCATTGTGCACCTCTGGATACCTTCTAAATTTTGTACCAGGGACAAGCATTATCTGCCCTTCCTAACATGAAAGGATAAGGTAGATCTGATGTAGAAAAATGACTAATATATACTGATAAAGGAAAAAAAATCAAATTGCAAAGCAATACTTATAATGCCGTTGTTATAAAAATAAACCTACCATGAATATATACACAAGCACATACTTAAGTTTGAATATACACAGAGAAAGTTCTTGGAGGTGGGCTGGGGAGGTAGCTTAGTGGTAGTGCATGTACTTAGCAAGTAGTACTTACTACTTAGTAGTAGTGCAAGGCCTTAGTTTCCTTCCCTAGCACCATAAATTAAAATAAATAAATAAAWAAAAATGCTCTGGAAGGTTACATTCCAAACAGCTAAGTGGGCTACTTCCAAGGAATAGTACTGAGGAGGCTTTTCCATTATGTTTCTGTACTGCTTGAGGGTTTTTTTTTTTTTTTAAACAAGTTTATAGTTATTTTTGTCACTACCAAGTTTAARCACTGCCTTGGGATTCTGATCCTCAGAAAGGCTATGTTCCCTGGGTATCTTGTCTTGGCATCCGTGTCCCTCTCCTGGCCTCAGGTCACACTTTTTGTTGTGCCTGCTCTGTCTACTGAATTCTCACCTACTCCTGTAAAGTCAACTGSAGCCTCCCCTAGGAGACACACGAGGGCTCAATCTAGTTGACTCAGCACACACCTGTGCATTACTGGTGACTGAGGTCTGTGAGGAAGGCTCAGCACTCCTGGGACCTGGTTCAGAGCAGATGCCTTGTCCTGTTAGTTGAGGGGCTGCTTTGTTCTACAGGCCAAGGCTGCTGAAYCAGCTGCTTGGACAGAATTTGCTCCCCTCAGGAACACAGATCTTGGACAGGGGCGTGCACAGCCCTTCTCTGCAAATCCTGCAATTGCTGGTATTACCGCCACAGACCCTTGTAGGCCACTTCTTCACAGCACTCCTGCATCTCCACCTTCTTCCTGGGATTTCACAGTGTGCCCTGGACACATAGACCCCAGGGCAAGTCTGTCTTCATATGCCCTCTCTCAGGTGGCTTTATGATCTAACATGAGTGGAAACCCAAAACTCTTGGGCCCCCACACTAACTCTTCTCCCTCCTTGCCAAATGACCAAGGAAATGATGCAGGGTGAAAAAGTGACTTTCCCCAGGCCAAAATGCTACTTGTGTAAGACTTTAGAGACACCTGTATCCAAAGATAGTGTCCTGATCTGAGACAAGGCACGCCTGGTTCTGCCCCTATGTGGTATAATGATCTTAACAAGTCATTCTTTTCTTTTTTTTTTTTTTAAAGAGAGAGAGAGAATTTTTAATATTTATTCTTTAGTTTTTGGCGGACACAACATCTTTGTTTGTATGTGGTGCTGAGGATCGAACCTGGGTCGCATGCATGCCAGGCGAGCGCGCTGCCGCATGAGCCACATCCCCAGCCCAACAAGTCATTCTTTTGACCCTTGATTTATTTTTCTGTACAGTGGGAATAAAACTAGCTCTAATTGCCACACTGAGGTCTCTAGTATTGAAGTGGGTAAAGATTTTATAACTTTAGAGCATCCTGGTTATTGGAGGGAGAGGCCATCAGTGAATGGTCAGGCCCCATTTGTAAATTTCATAGTTTTCCAGCCCTGCAGGAGATGCTTCGGAGAGGCAATTAGACAAAAGCACTTTAATCCACACTCTCTGCTCCAGCCACACCAGACCTTCTGTGCTTCTGTAACTGCTTTGTCTCTTCCAGGCTTCCTACCTCTCACTTTCCTCTGCTAGAATGCCCTCTCCTGGCTGGAATTCTACCTCTCCATCAATGCTTGGGYCTCCCTCCACACAAAGCCTCCATGCCCTGCTCCAGACATGCGTGCACAGCCTTTCTCTTTCTCTGCAAACCCTGCGGTTGCTGGTATTACCGTCACAGACCTAGTTATCCTTCCCTCATCCACACTCCTGAACTCCTTGGTGACACTGCTCTGACCTACACATCCCTGTAGCATCCCTCCACTGTAGACAATGGCAGAAGTTCGGGAAACACTATTTCCTGGAGGTGTTTTTGGAAGAGACCAGCGATCCCTGTGCAGAAGGTGCTAAGGAGAAGTGTTCAGACAGTCTGGGAGCTACTCAGATCAAGCTGCTCAACCTCCTGCCACACTGCCCTTTGGGTCCTTTGTCTTGGTCTATTTCTGAACTCCTCTCTGTACCAAGGGTTTGCTAACAGGCCTGGTATTGAGGATAAGGCCACCTGTACTCTGCTTAGCAAAGGCAGAATAGAAAGAAAAACAGGGTCACACTGAACCTCTCAACCCAAGCCCTAACAGTTCTCCTTTGCATCTGACCACAGAGAGCCAGTGGTGGGTTCTCTGTTCTTGGGGAAAAAAGGCGGCAGCCTTCAGTYACTGCTTAAATTGGGCAGTGTTTTGAGAACCTGAGCCGGAGCAGTTTCAAAAGTGGCAGCTCCTTTGTGGGCCTGCTTCCGCTTGGGTCCATCTTCAGGTCTGGTGGGGGAGGAGCAGTGGGGATGCTTGTAGATTAAGAGGCTGTTAAGGAGGAGAGAGGGTGCCAGGAAGTCAGAAGCCATTGGTTCCAGGGACTAGAGCGGGCTTAATATAGGGAAGAAGTGGGGGTGGGGAGGGTGGGAGAGAGGAAGGAAGGAGAAGGAAAGTGCTAGAGTCCTCTTGGGTATCCAATGGGACAAATATTAAGGAAGGCCAAGGATGGGGACTGGCTCAGTTCCTCAGCAGGTAGGCCCAACTGGATGGAGGGACTGTCTTAGGGGAGACAGGGAGAAAGGATGCTTTGAGGTAGGGTCAGGGGCTGGGAGGGAACAGAGTGAAGGMCTGGGTTTTAGCTAAAGACAAATTTGAGTGGTAGTTAGAGGAAGCCAACAAAAGAAGTGGTCTAAGCCTGGTTAAAAAGTAGAGGCACCAAGGTGCCAGGTCTGAAGAGCTGGYTGGAACTGGTTCCAGAAAGTAAAGCAATAGTCTAGATGCTAAAATGGAGCTATTTCCTGGGTTCATTTTTTCATGGCAGGRGCTAGGGCCTGATCGGAGAGCTTCATGTAAGTGCCCACATGATATGATTTCAGTGAGACAGGARACAGAGCCTAGATATGGGTCTGGATGCTAGAATTAGCCCTGGGGTGGGTAAGGCAGGGCTCCTGATAGAGGGATGACTAGAGATGATACCACTCAATTCTCAGGACCATTACTCATTAGGTACAGATTGGGGTTGACCCAGAGCCCTGGATGGGGTGACTGTTCCAGCTGGGATGAGTATATGTTGCTGCTGACCAGCGACAGCAGAAGGTGGGGGCTGGGCCCAGAGCGAACAATCAACGCCGGAGCGGCGGTGTGAGGGTCGGCTGACCGTGGCTGCCGCATGATGCAGACAGAGAAGGATGTGTCAGGATCTAAGCAGGGGGAGAAATTAGCTCCCCTCTGAGGAAGGTTGGGTAGAGGGTCGGTGCCCAGATCCGAGGACGCCGCCAAAGGCCAGCCCCGGAATGTGGGCGCGGGTGGAGGGGACGGTGGTGATAAACCCTAGGGCCGGTTAGTGACCCCGGCGAGGAGTTCCTCCAAGAAAGGGTCGGATGGGAAGGGTCCATGCCAGCYATGAGGGTGGGAAGGCCCGGATTAGCTGCCGAACCTACCTTGCCGCGGGCACAGCGCACCGAGCGCAGGGCGCCGAAGAAGATGGGCAGCAGCGCCATGAGCAGGAGGCTGCCGTAGGCCAGCGCGATGCCCTCGGGCGTGGAGGGCGGCCGCGTCGTGCCGTTGGCCGGGCCGCCTGACTCGGCGCTGCCGTTGTGCGGGTCGCTGAGGGCCGAGTCCATGGCGAGGCTGCGCTCGGGCTCTCACTCCAGCTCCGGCCGCTGCAGCAGGAACGCAGACSGAGGGACGGGCGCTGCGGGGAAAGCCACGTTCCCCTAAAGAAACAGGAAGTGACGTGCCCCCCTCGTCGTTCGGCGCCGCGCGCGCGCCCCGACGCCCACGCGCGCGCGCCCTCGTCTCCCCGCCCGCTCGCCCTCTAGCGGCGGCGGCCGGCGCAGAGGCCGGTTGCTGAGCAACCTGCTGGCGGCGGGGAAGGGAACGCTGGACCACTGCAGTCGTCGTCCATCCTGAGAGAGACCTGAGCACTCATTTCCTAGTTCCAGTGGATTTCTTCAATCCCACACTGTTCTGTTCTCCACAAACCTTCGTCTCCAACTAAAAAACTTGTTTATTTATGTGTGCATTCATCCAATATTCCGTTGTTTATTCATTTCTTAAATATTTATTGGGTCCCACGATATGCCAGACACTCTCCTAGGATCTGGAGACACTGATGGGAACAATACAGGCAAAAGCTCGTCCCTATTATCATGAATCTTGCATTTTAGTGAAGTGTGTGTGTGTGTGTGGGGGGGGTTAGGAAGAGAAGAAGTGAAATAAATAAAATAGAAAGTCTGAAATATAACCTTTGAAGATGGAGCTGGGTGAGGCCCACGCCTGTAATCCCAGCGGCTTGAAAGGCTGAGGTAGGAGRATTCGCGAGTTCAAAGTCAGCCTCAGTAACCTAGYGGCACCCTGTCTCTAAATAAAATATAAAAAGGTGCTGTGGATGGGGCTTGGTGGTTAAGACCCTTTGGGTTCAATACCTGGTACCAAGTAAATAAATAAACAAAGATGCCGTGTATAATTATGTATGGTAGCATGTAAAAGCAGAWAAATAATCTGGAGAAAAATAAAGTAAAAATGAGAGTGGGTAGGGCTTTCCAATGTATTAAGTACCTACCATGTGCTAGGAAATAATAATCCCTTTATAGTTTATAAGCCTATATAGTTTAAAGCATCATGGCTCTTATCACAATTAGAAGAAATTACTTATTTAAGTTATTTTTAATAGTGGTTCTTAAAATAGAAAATATATGCACAAAGTGAAAATTCAAAAGTACACAAAGATAAGAAAGACTCCTTCCCTTTTTTAGGTTTCTGCCTTACCTTCCTGAAGGCAATCAGCCTTAATAGTCTCTTGTGTATCATTCTAGAACCTTCCTGTGCATTTACAAGCAATTTGCTGATCCTTTTATTTAACAAATCAGTATCGCGTATCTAGCACACAGGTAGTGCTTTGCCTAACTCTAGGAACTGTAGGGCTATTCATGAGATGAACATGGACCTGTGCAGTGAGTAACACAAGGACACCATCTTAGGTTGGTGCTCAAAGAAGATYTGACACCTAAAGGGGAAAGGTGGAGCCGGCCAATGTAAAGATGCGTATGAGGGTCCTCAGGTGAGGAAAGGCGCTATAAGTTAGAGGAACCAAATGATGTTTGGAGGAAAGGGGAAAGAGAGCCAATGGTGACAACAAGGTCAGATTGGCCAGTGTGCATCATGGTGCACTGGGCCTGGTTGACTGGCATGGATTTTATTCTAAGAGAAATGTGAAGRTAGTCTAGGGTGTCATGCAGGGAAATTATATATTTTTGGATCTGGAATGTCCCCTAAAGTCTCATGTATTGAAGGCTTAGTTCCCAGTACAGCCAGTTTCCAATATAGGGCTTTGGGAAGTGAGTGGATCCTAGCACTCTGATCCCAACAATGGCTCAATCCACGGGTGGATTTGGAACTGGATGGCCTATTGGAGGTGGTGAAGACTGTWGGAGGTGGGACCTTATTGCATCTCGTCCTCCTCTCCCCCATTCTTCCTGGCTACCACGAGGCGAGCAGCTTTCCTCTGCCACACCTGTCTTCCGAGATGTTTCTGCTTCTTCTCATCCCTAAAAGCATTAGAGCCAGCTGATGTGGTTGGAAACACGGAAACTGTGAGTCAAAGTAAACTTGCTCTTCTAAGTTGATTTCCTGAGGATTTCGTTAGAGTGCTACAAAGCCGACTAGCACAACATCCTTACTTTCATTTGGTAATTACTTAATATCTATTTTCTCTGCTTGATTTTATGCTCCATGGAGGCAAACAGACACCAGGTCTCTAGCATCCATTGATGAATTTCCAGCACCTGAAATCATGCCTGGCTTTAGTGGGCACTTGCTGAATGAATGAATAAACATATAATTTTAATTCTTTTTCTCTTTCTTTTTTGGTACTGGGGGTTGAACTCAGGGGTGCTTTACTGCTGAGCTACATCTTCAGCCCTTTTTAAATGTTTTAATTCTGGGACAGGGTCTCTATAAAGTGCTTGCTAAATTGCCAATTCTGGCTTCAAACTYGTGAGTCTCCTGCCTCAGCCTTCCGAGATTGCAGGYGTGYGCCACCATGCCCRGCTCTTTTGATTTTCAAAACAAATTGACACAAATAGGAAATTCCTGAGGCCTCTGATTATGCTACTGCTGCTCTACCTAAGGGAATGTGGTGAAAGCAGGTGGAGGAAAAACCGGAGAAACCTGCCGCCCTAAGAGACCTGCCACTGGAGAAACCCTGGGCCAAGCAGTGGAGAAGAAAGTTGCCCTCGGGGACCTGACAGCAAGCCAGCCTGGAACTCGGAAGGGAAGATACACTACTGAAAAGGCTCAACACAGTCAGCTGCCAAAGGGAAATATTTACAGAGCTTAGGTGGATTATTACAGAGYAGGCAAAAAAGAGGGCACTTAGAACTGAGCCATTAAGTTGAGGCAGTAACTTGATAATCAGTACAGATGGTGTAAAATCCAGTGGCCTAAACCAGGCCGGCAAGGCAGCATGCATCAGGCACCATAGCAGTAACTTTATGCATCTACATCTGTAGGAGATGATTGGTCCCAATTTATAGATGAGAAAACTGAGCCTCGGAGAGGCAAAGTTGCCTGCCCAGGTCACAAAATCAGCAAAGGAGGAGCAGAACCTTGAACAGGTCTGTAGGCCTCCAAGCCTCTGCTTTTTCCAACATTCCAGCTACACAGAGGCTAAGGAGTTTGGACCCAAGAGAGTAATGCTGATCTGGGCCGGGTGGTGTGGTTTCAGTTTTGCGATAAGATGGACATGGCTTGAATAGAAGAGTGGAAGGCAGTCTGCCTTGTGCATTCATATGTTATGGTTTGTTTCTGAAATATCCTCCCACCAAAATTCATGTTTTGAAGCTTGGTCCCAGGGCAGCAGTGTTTAGAGTTGGTACCTTGGAGAGTGATTGGATCATGAGAGTTCTACCCTCATCAATGCATTCATCCATTGATGAATTCACAGCTTACCAGGCTATCTGGATGGAGGTGGTAGACAATTTAGGAAGTGCGTCTAACAGGAGGAAGTAGGTCCCTGGGGATGGGCCCTGGAAGGGGATATTTTGTCCCTCTCTTCCCTCTTGCTGTGTTTTGACCTCCCTGAAGTAAGCAGCTTTGCTTTCCCTGCCATGACGTCGTGCACCATAGCAGTAACTTTATGCATCTTCATCTGTAGGAGATGATTGGAGCCCAAATGACCATGGATTGAAACCTCTGAGACCACGAGCCAAAGTAAATCTTTCCTTCTCTAAGTTGATTTTCTCAGAGTTCTTTTTGTTGTTGTTGTTGTTGTTGTTGTTACAGTGATGGAAAACTGACCAGCACATTCAGTAATTCAGGCCATAGAATCTGCCCAGGAGTCAGACTCAAGAGTCTTCTCATCCGAGAGCAGAGGATTAAAAGTTGGAGACGCTTCTGCTTCCTGCTGGGCTGCTCCCTTAATTTGGTTTGGCCTGGAGCAGATCTGGCACCTCTCCTTACACTTCAGGGCAGGAGACTGTGCACAKGACCCAGGGAATCAAGGAGTTGACCTGGGTTCAGAAAGCAGCCGTGGAGGCTTCTGCGTGGAGGGCTGGGTTGCTGGCTGGGAGCCCATTTGTCTTGATATTCCCTGGAGATGGGAAGGAGGCAGTCGGAGCGTGAGTGCTCTAAGGTGAAGTCTCCAYATGGGGTTACTTTCTTGGAAGAAATCTGAGCTGAGGTCAAGAATGAAACCTGTTAAGGTCTGGGATAGCTAAAGTACCAAACTTTGTTCCAAAGAAAGACCCAGCTTCCATTTTCCCACTTATTGCTGTGGCCAGTACCATGGATGGATATCAATCAGACTTTCCATTTTTCCCCTCATATACATTCACACACACACACACACACACACACACACACACACACACACACACACCCACGCATGTACTATTACATATTTGAATTGTTCCTGTAATGACAAACAAGGATCATCAGGGGATGCTGAAACCACTGGGACAAAGGTTGTTGAGGAACCTGATATTCATGCAGCCTCAGTGCCACCCCACAGATGGCTTACAAGTTATGAAGAGGAAAAGTTTCCTACGATGAAGTGATCTGTGGACACTTCCTTAACCAGGTGATCAAGCTTGGCAGCATCGATAATGGGACAAAATGATAAGATTCAATGGGTCGTGGGGACTACATCACCTGCATAGTGCTAGACACGCCAGACCCTGTTAACCTGAGTTCTACTAATGGGAAAGATGAAGAAAAGTCCCCAAAATCCACATTGCGGCCTATTATACAAGGCAATTAGCTGGAACTT